TCCTATCGCCTCAGCTATAATTGTTCAACCTTCTTATCAGTCCTCCTGTTAGTTACAAAAAAATGTTCCCAAACGTCCTCGTTATGAAGTTTGACAAAGTCAACAGACCACGTGACGAGGCTTTCCTACATTTCCACGCTCACGGGGGCAGGGGTTAAAAGCTAAAACATTAAGCGCAAACGACAAGAAATAACGAGAAGTTTGAAAAGCTATGAGAGCCGAGTCAGCTTTGGTTAACTAAAAAAATTGACTGACGGGACGGAAATAGCAGCCTCAGAGGGAGGCTCGTGGACTTTCACCGTGCGTCAATGTGTCCGGCAAATGGGTGTTGGAGAGGAAATCCTCGAGATGTCGAGGTTTAGAAGAGGGGGGGGGGGGGAGACAGAGAGGAGGGAACCAAGCAAATTTGACATGCGATCACCGTGTGCAGCTAATAAATCCTCAAGACATGCTGCACCTCGCTCATGAGGGAGTTTTACCAAAACAGGTTTTAGTAAATAATTTCTTTGGCTGGTAACATGCCTATTTACTTCTTTCAAGAATTCACTTTTTTATTCACGTTAAATATTTACGTAATGCGTAATTTCTATTGGGAGGTCAATTCGTATACATTTTTAAAGTAAAAAAAAAGAAAAATTAAGATTTGTCCAGGGATGGTGGGGGGGGGGGGGGAGCATGAACATTGATTTAATTTAATTCATGTCTTCTAGCAATTCAAATTTGTTTTTACCATGGTCATTAACAATTAATTTACCTCGTAAAATAATTACAAATTAATTGGGGTGGGGGGGGGGGGGGGGGGGGTTAGCAATAATCGATATACAATTTCTATAGTCTAATCATGCGATGGTAAACATTGGTTATTGTAGAAGTAAATTCTAAAAGTACAGTTGGTGAAATAATCTATAACACAGCTGTACACTGTACATAACATGTGAGTTGGGTAGAACTGTGTGTGTATATATATATATATATATATATATATATATATATATATATATATATATATATATATATATATATATATATATATATATATATATATATATATATATATATATATTTACCCCAGCCCCAGAGTCTATAAGCAATTGTTGTTGTGTAATTTTTTTTCCTACTCGTGGTAAATGAATTGATGAACTGAAAATAGTATCCTACGTTAAAAGATGTATCAGATGTATTGTGAAAGTCAGCATAAAATAAACGAAACAAATTAAAATAACTGCGGAGTTCTTCACAACGTTTAAAAAAAAACAATTAGATGGGAGGGGAAAAGAATTTCTGGCTTATCACAATAAATTTTTGCATGCTACGATAGAATCGGAAAGAGCTTGTCTGGGATTTCACGTTTTAACGTGAACACAATGACGAGATAAGAAAAGGATCTGAATTGATAATGTCCATTAGCGATTTCTTTTTAAATAAGCACACGCTAAATGAAATAATTGTTTTTTAATAGCCACGACCCACGTGCCAATCAATGAGCAAAGATGGGTTATCCTGACTTATCGAAAAATCATAGATGCGAGATACCCAATGAAATAGCTAGGGTAATATAGCGTCCAGATATGTTACAATCCCGCCGTGTACTGAACAATAATAAAATTAGCTTTCCAAAAAAAAATTAAAATCTAAATGTATTTACACCGTAGTGGTAGACAAAACGAATGTCCTCAAGAGATATCTTGCAATAATGCGTAAATACTAAATACTTTTTACTAGTCTATGCACCTTTCCGCATAGGGTTGAGCACATGTTTTGAGTGTAATAAAAGGACTGGGTAGTCGGGAAAAACTAATGTCCAGCCCCCTTAGCTTTTTCCCAGACTCTGGTCAGGTACACATCAATGCTGAGTGGACATAAGGACGTCCTACAGACTAGAAGACAGTGCGGCAACGGGACACACAATCGGCCAACTATTTCTGGCTTTAGATGCGTCGATAAAGCGAGCAATTCTTATTTTTATGGAAATTTGTCATAGTAACTTCAGACTCGACTTTTGCCTCCTCTGTAATGCTAGTTAGCGTATACACGCGCTACATACTATTTACTAAAATTGGTTTTAAATGATGGAAGGGTTAATATAGCTGTGTAACATAAATCTCAAGGGTTAATATATCTGAGTCAGTTACATAAGTCGGGAGGGTTAATATAACTGTGAGTAACCAAACGTACATCACAGATCTATATGGGAAAATTCATTGAAGAAACATCAACCAAACTTCAAAGCTCCAGTCCACGGCAAATTAAAAATAATAACCGGGTTAAAAATGACGAGAATAAATCATCAAGCGAACTTTTATAAACACGTTACGGGAGGTTTTTTCTTGAACTAATTGAAATAAAAAAATTGCTATAATCAATATATCACTAATGAACGTTCTTCATTTAATTACTCTGCCAAAGATGTTTATTGATCTGTCTTAAAATATTAGGAATCAGACACGTGCGAGGGGGAGAGTTGGCGTGAGGCAAACTGGGATCAACTACTGGACAGCTGTCCTTTTGGGTGGCACTGGCAGACTCCCTGCCTCCACACCCACACACACCCACCCACCCACACAGCACCAGCCTGCAGTACATGTCTTCCATTCATTCACCCCGTCCATCCATCTACCAATCATCACAAGACAATCGATTTCGTGTCCGCTCTACGTGCTAACGTCAATGTCTTTTTTTCTATGCAGTGCAATCACATCGATGTATAGATACACGTTTATTAGATGTATGCACAAATAAAGAGATGTAAACGTGAAAAAAAAACACATCTGAAACGTTTTTCATAGTATAATCCGTTATGTAAATGTAAGCCTGAATAATAAGTAATATGTAAGCATGTGCAATAAAAACTGTAGGTAAATGACGTTCTATACAATTCCGATTAAAGGGAGGATACTATCAACAAACTTCAGAAAAAACAACAAAGGTATTGTAACATCTTATCTTCTGAATTCCTTTAAATTAGCGATGAAATTTTTCTCTGTGAAATAATTGTAATTAACTAGAGAATGCATGCATTAATTAATGGGTGAATTTAATTATCTGAAAGGGTTTTTTATTTTATTTTTTGTTCCCTGGATAATAAAAATTGTCAGCTAAAGTTGAATTTATAAACCGGGTTAAAAATGACGAGAATAAATCATCAAGCGAACTTTTATAAACACGTTACGGGAGGTTTTTTCTTGAACTAATTGAAATAAAAAAATTGCTATAATCAATATATCACTAATGAACGTTCTTCATTTAATTACTCTGCCAAAGATGTTTATTGATCTGTCTTAAAATATTAGGAATCAGACACGTGCGAGGGGGAGAGTTGGCGTGAGGCAAACTGGGATCAACTACTGGACAGCTGTCCTTTTGGGTGGCACTGGCAGACTCCCTGCCTCCACACCCACACACACCCACCCACCCACACAGCACCAGCCTGCAGTACATGTCTTCCATTCATTCACCCCGTCCATCCATCTACCAATCATCACAAGACAATCGATTTCGTGTCCGCTCTACGTGCTAACGTCAATGTCTTTTTTTCTATGCAGTGCAATCACATCGATGTATAGATACACGTTTATTAGATGTATGCACAAATAAAGAGATGTAAACGTGAAAAAAAAACACATCTGAAACGTTTTTCATAGTATAATCCGTTATGTAAATGTAAGCCTGAATAATAAGTAATATGTAAGCATGTGCAATAAAAACTGTAGGTAAATGACGTTCTATACAATTCCGATTAAAGGGAGGATACTATCAACAAACTTCAGAAAAAACAACAAAGGTATTGTAACATCTTATCTTCTGAATTCCTTTAAATTAGCGATGAAATTTTTCTCTGTGAAATAATTGTAATTAACTAGAGAATGCATGCATTAATTAATGGGTGAATTTAATTATCTGAAAGGGTTTTTTATTTTATTTTTTGTTCCCTGGATAATAAAAATTGTCAGCTAAAGTTGAATTTATAAAAAAACTGATTGCCACTTCTGCGTTATAAGAAAAACATCAGCATGATGGGGGGGGGGGGGGAATCTAAAATAAAAACTAAGAAAAAATATATAAAGAATGAATCTTGTAATAAAATAATCTCATATGGTTTGTGCTTAGTATTTTTTAAGTGTAAGGGGAAAAAAAAGCCAAGTTATATCAGCTATATTTATCAGAAGAACAAAATGTGTAAATTACTGTTTTGAACATTTTAAAACTAGTATTTTGTCTTGAAATAACCTGAAACACTTCTAGGCTAACAGAGTAAAGAATTGTATGTAGATAGATAAAAAGCATGTTTTTAAATGAATAAGTTTAAAGTGTGCATGCTAAGAAAACAAAAACAGGTGGTTTTTAGAATAAAAGAAAAAAGTCAGAGACAGGTCTACAATAAAAAGTCAATAAAAAACATCAGGGAACAGTAAATCCATATTTAAAGAGTTAAATAACAAACAAAAAAGGCAATATATTCTTAATAAGAGAAGGATATACAATAACAGGAATTTTAGGTTATACTCTGTGATATAAGCAACTTGCTATTTTGGTGTTTTGAATAGATAATATTGCAACTGTCACACTATGACCTAACCCTATCCTTACATTACATTGGAACTTCACTTTTCTGTTTAGTGTTAAGTTCCAAATATATTTTTTTAAAAGAACTATAAAGCTGCAGCAAGATTCAGAAAAGAAAAATGCATGTAGAAGAACAAGTGAAAGAAATCCTGTTTATGTAAAATGATGTAAAATAAGTACCCTGATGGTCCATGGGGCAGATCAAGTAGAGTTCACCTGTTTCTGTGACCTCTGGTATAATGGGACAGTGTGGTCAGTACTATGCCCAGCCAAATTTTCCCAGGTACCCATCAGAGCTGGGTGAACTCAAGCCCAAGATCCTTACTCGAGACTTTCAGGTTAGCAGTTGACACTCTACGATTCAACCACACCATCCCAGTTTCCAGAAGTATGACTCATGTAATCTAAAAGTGTAAGGTACAACAGTAAGTACTCACCAGCTGACATGGACTTCTGTAAATTCATCACCTTGTCTTTCAGATTGGAAGATAGGACTATACTGTACTGGACCATCTCAAGTCTATACAGCACACAGTGGAAAAGTTCAATGTTAGCATGTGTTTGAATGTAACAAACTAGGGACTACCCTATACTGTATCATCTCAAGTCTTAAGAACACACGAGGGAAAAAGTGGAATGTTAACATATGCTTGGATGTAATACTAACAAACTAGGGATTACACTATTGGTCACCTATTGATCTGTACTACCGACAAATTTCTCATAAGTGACAGCTAAGATCCACAGGTAAGAGCATTGATAGGGGGGGTGTATAATCAGGTGGTCCTAAGACTTGAGAAACTACTCAAAGTTGTCCAAGTTTAATGGGAACCCACAATACAATATAAGTCATGGTACCATTTTATGTTCCCCTCTTATTGAGGAAGACATCTACATACACCCAGCATAAAACAGAGCACACAGATCACAAGCCTATCAGTACATACACTATCTCCTGTTTACCTGTGAACAAGTTGCTGCAGGTGAGCCAGTGCCCCAGCTTCTGCTGTTGGTAAAGTCTGGCCAGTTGACTGGCAGAGTAGATAGGCTGCATGTTGACAAGCCTGTGGGTTGGTGTTTAAATCCCAGGGCTGATCTTCTAGTAATGCAAGAGCTGAAAAAGTTGGAGTAAGCGACACATTTTATACTAGGTTTCTGTAACAAAGAATTGGATTCTAGATTTCAGTTAGGGAGTTAGACTGTGTGCTCTACTTGATTTCTGTATAATAGGTATTTTATACTAGATCTAGATCTCTGTTACACCAATACTTGTTTTAAATTTCTAAAATGTAAGGTTGACAATGTGATTGAAATTTTTTTTTACTGCACAGTAAGCAAAATTTAAAAACTAAACAGTACTTGTTTTGTTTTAAATGTTTATATTAATTTAATTGTAATCAAATGACTTTACTAAAAAAGATTTTAAGAAATAAAATCTAGATACAACTTTACACAGAATAAAAAAGATTTACCTGTATTGGATGCTTTAAATATTTCTCCCAATTTCATCTTCACATCTTTCCAAATCAAACTGTCAAATATGTGGTTTAAAGAGGTGGACAGGACAGATTTTAAGCCATAAAGTAGACTTTCCACCTGGGTTTTGTATTCAGCATCACCGCCAGGGGAAGGCTTGGACAAGACCCTGAGCATCAGATGGTTAAACCATTCTATGGCTAGCTTCCAACTGGATTCTGGTTGAAGGGAGATATAGATGGAAGTTGCTGTTTGCAATTCTACCACTTGCGTTTCTGACAGATTTTCACTGAAGAAGAATACACATATCATTACATTTTTTATTGGCTTGAAAGAGTTTGATTTTTAAAAATTGTAAAATTTGGAAGCACTTCATTAATAATAATATGGCACAAAAAAATGTACGGATAAATTGGGCAATAAATAACTGTAATAAAAAATGTATCACTCTTGAGTACTTTTGCATTCTGACTTAAGACCTGAATGCATTCATAGTTCTGAAAATGTCTAAGTAATTGATTAAGAAAAAAATTCCCCACTCTTGTTAATCACACCCACCCACAACTAAAGTAAATAACATGTCTCCCATTTTAAACTTCACACAACTGATGTAAAAAAATTTTATTCAAATGCATATAAGATTTTTTTACCTTTTTTCACTTAACTTCTCAAGTAGAGTAACCAGAGCTTTAGCAGCCAGCTTGATGTTGACAAGCTGTGATGGCTCACCAGCTAGTGAAGGCAGTAATGGAGTCAGTGAGCTTTCTGGTGAAGCTTCTCTTCCCAGCTGTGGGAGTTCTAGTAGCTGCTTCAGGGCCAGCTCTTTGGCAAACTAGAATAATTATAGTTACATTCAGCTTTGACCAATTCACATAAAAAAATATCAAAAATATGTGGCTAGTTTCCTCCAACTAGTAATACACAAGTAGAAAGAATGGTATAATTATAGAACTAGAAGAAATATATAAATATCCTTAATAGTTTTTTAACAAGCTATGTTCTTTACAAAAGCTTAAATTCTATGAATGTTTGTATTTCCGGTCTCTTAAGTGCTTCTGCAGCTAGTATGATTTTGTAAAGATTATTTGTGCAATCCTTAATTCAGTCAATTTATTTTTATTAAAACTTAATTATTCATCACCTGATGAAGGGTAATCACTTACTAACACATGACTGCTAAACACCTCACCTTTTTGGTAGTGATATTTTTCTTACTGCTGACATACACATCTTCCATCACATGGCTGACAGCCTCCTTCAGCTCAAAGCCTTTCTTCAACAGCTGAGCACACATGGCACCAGCATGGAACAGATCAGCAAAGACTGGCCTTTCACTGTAGGGTAGTTCAGATTTAAAACTGCTGTGGGCAGCCAACAGCCAGTCACAGAGCTGCCTGTTGCTTAGCCCTGTTTCATTTAACATGGCTTTTATATCCCTATCACTGTAGGTGTATCCATCATCCTTGAAATCAGAAAATAGCCAATATCAGTGGTATATGAATAAAATTCCCATAATAAACAAAACACCCCAAAATGATTCAATTATTACAGTAACAAACTAAAGCAAACTGCATACATTTGTACTACCAAGCTAGGTACATCAAACTAATACAATGATTACAGTAACAAACTAAAAGCAAACTGCATAAATTTGTACTATCAAGCTAGGCACCTCAAACTAATACAATTATTACAGTAACAAACTAAAGCAAACTGCATACATTTGTACTACCAAGCTAGGTACATCAAACTAATACAATTATTACAGTAACAAACTAAAAGCAAAAAAAAACAATATAGTTATTTTAATTAAATGTTTACCTCTCCTAGGATGTAAATTTCAATTCCTCTGTTTCTCATGGCTCTTGAAATCTCTCCTCGTTTTGGATCCATAGCAAAGAAAAGCCTGTTATAAAATTTTCATTAAAAATTTATTCCTTTGAAATTACTTCAGAATGGAATGGTGTGGTTGAGTAATAGAGCATAAGAGTACTAACTCAAAAAGTCTAGAATTCAGTACTTGACTATGTTAGAGATGTCACTGAGTCTACACAGTTTTCACGGCATAGATCTGACCACACCATCTATTAATATGCCGAGGCCACAAAAACATTAACTCCATTCACCTCTGTTATGAACCATCAAGTCAGAACAGTTACTTCACTTTATAGGCCTACTTTAATTAATTAAATGGTATCTTTTGGTCTTTTTTTCTATTCTGTGAACAAACCGGGTTTTCTTTCAGACATTTTTTACTCTGGAGGAGCAGATACTGTAAATGAATTAAATTGTTCTAGGAGTGGGGCAATGCCTACCTGAGAGATGCCTGAGAGAAACTCTAGAAATCTTTACTAGTAACAAAAGCATAAAAAAGAAATTAAAACACACCTGAAATTTGGATGGGGAATAATTGTCATGATTTCTCCATCAATTGTCCCTCTCTCATTAATGCTGAGGACACCATTGGGTTCCATCAGAGCATTCAGTCTGTCTAAAACAGAAGCACTGAAAAAAAAAGGGATGAGTTTCCTTCACAACACTATATGAGTATCTTGTACCTAAAGGTTATCAACAGCATATAGCAAACTTAAATATATATATCAATGTCCATTCAGGAAACTAGGGTTTAGTAGTACAACAAAATCTATTATGTTACCATGTTATTCAATAAGTGTGGATAAAGGTAGATCGTTACCTGCAAAAGTTCACATTATCTATCAGCAACCAAAAGCCATTTTGAAGCGCCTTGACCAAGACACTGTCCACCCACTCAAAAGCCCCTCCTCCTGTTCCAGGTTTCATGCTAGATACTGTGGCTAACAACTTTGCCAGTTTGTGATTTACTGACAGTCGGTTTTCTGAAAAGTAATAATTAACATATTAAATTTGTAGTTTTCTGAATAATATTAAAGATTTATTAAAATTTAAATTTATAGATTTCTGAATAGTAATAAAAATTTATTAAATTTACAGTTTTCTAAATAGTATTAAAGATTATTAAATTTATAGTTTTCTGAATAGTATTAAAGATTTATTAAAATTTAAATATATAGTTTTCTGAATAGTAATAAAGATTTATTAAAATTTAAATATATAGTTTTCTGAATTCTAATAAAAACATTAAATTTATAGTTTTTTGAATAGTTATAAAAACTTATTAAAATTATATAAAATATGTTTAAAGGATCATCACAGATACCATATATTTCATTTAGAAAATTCAGTTCCTTGAAACTAATGTAAAGAGAAAAAGTTGTATTACCAGCACCAGATGGGTCAACTTTATCCAGATGTATGGCAACAGTCTGCAGGTGTTTTATGTGTTGTAACAAAAGAGAGATCACATCTTCACTTGACATGCCTTCATCTAGTTTAAAGACAGTAACACATTATCTAGGAACTATCAATAGATATATATACATTTTTTTTAAATTTATGCAAGAATGTTAAAAGGGGGAAATAATTTTATCAATCTTACTTGACACATTGAGATCATGGTATGAAGCCCAATCTCTCTCCAAGCTGCTATATTTGGAACTCTCTGCTAGGCTGACATCAATGAGACATTGTCTCTCCACCCTTTTCACTTCACTGGCAACCAAAGCCACTATTTCACCCAAATGACGCCACATATCCGACTAGTATTATTAAGAAGAAAAAAACACATCTTTTACTCGATTTCAAAATACAAACATTTAATTTCATATTTTTAACTTGATTTAAAAATAACATTTTATTTCATACTTTTACAGGTATTTGAATACAAATTCGTGGAGGGATTTTACAACAGTATGAAACTGCCATCATTTGTTCTCTGATGTCCAGTTTTTTTCAATACCCTGTACAATGAAGGACTTGTACAGCTCCCATGAAAAATACTACTATGGAGGATTGCCACTGGACAACTCATCCAACTACAACCCCCCATCTGTGGCAGAGGGAGGTGTGCTTTTTGTTGTGGCCGTCGCCGGTGGCTTGGGAAACATCTTCACTATGCTAGTGACTCTGATCTGTCCAACATTTCGCCAGATGTCATCAGCATTTTTGTTTCATCATTGTCTTCTTGATGCCATCAAGTCAGGCTTCTGCATTCCTTTTGGTTACAGCCTTCTGCTTAAGGTGGACATCCCACATTGCGATGTCTTAGGGGCTGGTTATATACTGCTGATGACAGTTTCAGCATACAACTTGTTGGCTTTGTTAATTAACGAGGAGTACCAGTGCTCGTTTTCATCTCGCAGGAACTACCACAAAAATGGTGACGGGTGCTGTATAGCCTTTGGTGTTGTTATCATATGGTTTACGACCGTACTTCTACACCTGGGAGTGGCTTTTCTGCCTGGTAGTTCCGAGTACAGTAAAGACGTAGGAAACTGTGTCTACCGATATGGGGTTACTAAAAACTATGTCATCCATGCATTGTGGGTAATCCTTGTCACTGGCGCAGTCATTGTAGCAGCTATCAGTTTTATCCACTTCTACAAAAAACTTCGCTCTACAGCTAAAAGTCGTAAATGGACATTCCTTCACAAATCGCTGTCTTCGCTATCTCCACATAACGCAGTCTACAATGATCAGAATGAAGAAATACATTATGAGTTTGACGACCTCGCCTCACAGAAAGCAATGCTCCAGTCTAAACGCTACCTTAGAAGAATCACAGTCATGATGCTGATGGTGGTATCTTTTGTGCTGTGCTGGTACCCGCTGTTTTTCTTAACCCTGTTTGACGTTCACTACCAGCAGCCACCACACATCTACCGTCTTTTGATGATCATTGCCTGGACCCATCCCATCACCACTCCCATCTTCTGTGGCATCATCTACTTCGACAGCTCAAGAGGTGAGAAAATTTCAAAGGATGTTTACACCAACGCCATACCCATGACAACCTCCCGCTCAGGGGAGGCCATCCGCCAGGAAATCAACCACATGAATTTAGCCAGCGGGGGAATAGGATTCCACAATGAAAACTTCCAGTTCACGCCTCATTTCACGCCAAATCACCTAACAGAGTCTCCCACACGAGAAAGGTTTGAAAGCATATCAGACAGCACGCCCTGTGACACTGTAACCTCCCACTGTGAAACAATAATCAACTACAACACTGAGGAAGGTGGTTGTCAAACATTAATCATGTAACTTTTGGAGGGTTTGTCTTATCTCACCATCAATTATTGCTAAAGCTGGATAAAAAAAATCACTAATGCATTTTGCAAGGGAAAAATTTGTTACCACAATAAAATTCCAAACCAACATTGATTGATTCTTTCATCATAAACATCAATTGTTTACCTACAGAGAATGCAAGCTGCTTTTGCTATTTGAAATTGTCCTCAATAAATCAATTATAGTGCACTACAAGCCCAATGCAAGTTTTGATTTCAACACTGTTTTTTTTTCAAATTCCTAGTTGTCAAATGATACACCATTTACCATGTAAATAAAGAAAGTTCTACTGACTATGTGCTCAACAAGTTATCTCCAATTTAGACAATTATTATTATGAAAATTAAGTATTTATGTATGAATTATCACATGCCCATTAATTAATTTGTACTGCAATACTAATGCAATATTGGATTACTGTTCCTGATGTGGTATTTAGTATAAAATAGTAGACCAACCTGTTCAAACCCTCCCAGAAGTTCCGTTGTGTCCATTGAACTGTTCATTGGTAGTATAATCAAAGGATGGTTTGTAAGCTCTGCCAACAGCTTCACCAGACTTGTCTTTCCACTTGATTGAGGACCAAGCTGTCAAGCAAATTGTAATGTAGTTTGGTTGTCTTGCTTTTTTGTTTAATCAAGCAAAATTTAAAACGTGCTAATATAAATTAATAATAATATAACAATTGCTAAGAAAAAGTAGCCTAATAGACCTGACATAGGGTAGATAAGGTTGAGTTCACTTGGGCTTTTTTAATAGAAAATTCTTGAAGCTTATTAAATGCGCTTTGGTATTAACTTACTATTGGGTATTAATTCACAAAAATTTACAATTTACAATTTTTTTTTTACAATTTTGATAGTCAGAAACAAAATTAAAGACTTTTTTCTAATGAATTCTCAAATTTCAACAATTAGTTGTAAGAACTTACAAGGATAGCTAACCATCCCATCTGTACACATTTCATGAGAGACTCCAAGGGCTCCATGCTATGGTGTAAAGGTAGAACAGTAGATGAACTGGCAGTGTGGCACAAAGCATGCCCAAACCTTGGCAAAAATGAGTGGCCGACTTGAAGCGTAGAGCTGCTGATGTTCATTTTCCTTGATGTTTTGTACAGCGGGTACTGGGCTTCCACAGTTGACATATAAAGCTCTTCAACCTGGATTAAAAAACAAATATTTTCTTAGCAAAAAGATTATTTTTTTTTAACTGAGATAAAATCAGATGGCTGATTGCAATTCAAATTCCATCCAGCTTTTTTAAACTAATTAAAAACATAACTATTCCTTTTTATGTATACCAGTCATGTATTTTTTTTTTATTTTTTTTTTGGATGCATACCTTTGATTTATCTGCAACTGATCTCATCCTGTCTCTGTATATGAGTCCCACATACTCGCCAGGGTTTAAGTTCTCAGATGTCTGAATGAATAACAATGTAAAATTTAATACGGCAAAGTAATTAATAAAACATGTTAGCTGACTGTATCTTGACATTTTTAATAAAATAAATCATAAGATATATTACAGCTGTGTGGTTTTTTTTAATATACAGCCTAATCCCCATGAAAACAAAAAAAACTATACTTTATCACCGTTTAAAGTTAACTATTTTAAAATTAAACCCACCTTCTGGCGCACAAAATGGCTTTAACAAATAGTCTAAAAATAGGACAAATAGGAAGTTAAATGTAATTAAGTAATTTTTCTTTGCAACCTATGTATCAGTTCTTGTTCATTAATACACACCTGGTTATCCATTAGCAAGTCACACCATCTAAACAAATCACGAAGATTAAACTCCCAGGGCGAGCCTTTCACTCCCCATAGTTTTTTCACCATTGTTTCTTCAAACATCTACAAATAAAAAACAAAAACCTTTTAATTTCTTTTAGCCTAAATACAAAGTAGATGGTTAATAATAATATATATTTAGTAAAAGTGTATACCTTTGAATTAAAGTCCACCATTGCAGTGAGAAGATCTGCTGGCAAGTTGGGATACATGGTTGTGGAAATAAAAATAAGATCATCCCTGGTAAAAGGATCCACATAGACCTGCAATTTATTTCAATAAAAGTTAGTCACTTTCTGATGACCAAAAATAATTATATTTATAACCTTAAGCAAACAATGTATTCAAATCTAAAATTAAAGAACTAATAATATTTAAAAGAATTGCATTAGTTTTGTAAGGTTATTTTTCAAGCAGTCCAATTTTAGTTATATTGATAATGCATTGAGAATTGAAAAATAAGCTGTTTTCTACATCATATTAAATTAATGAATTCAGACAATGCCGATTAAACCAAGGAAAAATATAATTTTTTTATTCAGTTTGATATTTCAGAAATATTTTTGCCCAGAACTTAAAATCTTAAAGATGAGTAAGTTACTTCTAAAAAAATAGTGACCTGTGTGAATCTGTTAAGGAATGATCTGGGCAACCCTTTCCTCCCACCTCCTTGAGACAGGGGGTTCTGGCAGGCAAATATGCGAGTCTTCTCATGCTCAATGTGGAATGTTTTACCAAGCTCTGGAATGTAAACTTCAGCACGATGATCAAAGCAGGCGTTCAGACCTTCTAGAACAGACTGTGATGCTAGATTCAACTAGGAAATGAAATCGTAAAAAAATTTAATGGAAAACTTAAACGAAGAATGAAATGGAAAAAAGTATAAGAACACCTAAAAAAGATTTACCATAAGTATTTGTCATTTTGAAAACAATGTCAGATAGCATAATTTTATAAAACAGGTCCTTGATTATCAAAGATATTAATGACGAATATGAGGATATTAACGACAAGGTAAAAATATTAAGTTTTCATCACAATTCTAATATTGTTTTGTATACTTTATACTATGGTGTCTTTGATATAAATAATATACAACTGACCTCATCAAAAACAACCCAATGTCCAGCTTTAAGGGCCTGTAAAAAAGGTCCATCTCTCCATGCAAAAACACCACCTTCACTCCCTTCTACAGGTAAATCAGCACCAAACAAATCTGTAACATCCTGCACAGTAGACAGAAAAACTTTAACAAATTGCATTGAAACATCAACAATAGTAAAAAAAAAAGTTAAGTTTCCTTTTCAAACCTGACAGTCTATAGGGCAAGTGAAGTAGAGTTCACTTGTTTCTGTGACCTCGGCATATGAAGAGATAGTGTGGTCAGCACTATGCCCAGCCGCCTTTACTTTCCCTAATGTGAGTTAGTTACCCATCAGAGTTGGGTGGACTCCGTGACTTGAACCTGGATTCGATCTCGAGACTTACGGGTTAGCAGTCCAGCTCTCTACCGCTAGACCACTCTGTCCCCTTCAGCAATAGTATATCATAATAATATATTCAAACAGAAAAAGATAGTAATTTTTTTTTTGTAATTTAATGACAATACAAAGGTTTATTAAACTGAACAGTTTACTTACTGTTTGCTCAGAGAGGTTGATACGTATAAGTTTTTTTCTTGCCATCCTGGCCACAGCTGCAACCAGACTAGTTTTGCCAACACCAGGTGAACCTTCTAGGAGAATAGGCCTGGGCAGCTGAAGACCTCTCAGAAGTCTTTGGGCATTAATGCAGGTTGTAGGTGCATCAAATGAAAACTTCTCTCCTATAAATTCTTCTACTGGCTCTGATAAAAAAACAAATCCTAAATTTGGTTACCTTTAAATTTAGATACAAACTAGCTTAAAAATAAAATTCAAGACTTTAAAAATACCTTAACCAAACTAAAAATCTCACCTCTTCTGATAGAAAATGGAGGAATTGTCAACAGCTGGTCAGTTATAATGACTGAACTGGACCCAATCACCGACCTGTTCAAAAGCAGGCCACAATGGGTGATATCTATATTTTGTCCCTTAAATTTTGACAATTGCTTGCACAAAAAATCAATGCACATAAGTCTTGACGTCTGAGTATTTGATTCAGAAGAAAAGGTTGTTGAACCTAGACGTTTTAAAATTGAATTGAGAAATGTTAGTATATTTAGTTGATATTGTTTCATTTAAGACCAAAAAAATATGATTTTTTATATGAAATTTCAAGTTTTATTTTAGTTAATTAAACTATTAAATCAGTTTTAAGGCAATCAAAAGTAGAAATAATGATTCTACAATTTAAACCAATAATTTACCTGTCCCAAGACTATCAATAAATATCAGACAAGCTCCATGAATGTATGATGTTAAAGGGTCCAATGTACAGAGGGATGAACTGTTTGTTTCCATGGAAACAGCATCTGGTTCATTTTTCCAATCACAAGAGCAGATGTTAATGAAGCGTATCCAGCTCAGAATGTCCCTTATGCTTACAGTGGCTCTAGATATTTGAAAGTAAAAAGAAAATAAGAACTTAAATTAGCATTTATTTAGTAACTTAAACTGAATATATTTATGAAAAATTCCAAATAAGCATGCTAGTACCTTTTCCCCATTTCTGTTGTAAAAAACCACTGAATGAAGTCAACAATAGCTCTGCCAAAGCCACTGCTACCATCTGTAGTGGGGAAGAGTTGAAGACCTGCTTTGATGTTTTTCTCTATAACAGAAATAAGATCGGCTGCATCATGAGACTGAGGGCACCAGATTTCAGTAAATCTGTTTCTTAGTGCTGGTGACAGCTGAAAATACATAAAGGTACGTACTAATTGAGATAAAGCCACTATATGTTAATACTAAAAGGACAGTAATAGAGTATGGGGTCAGAGGGGTAGGAGCATTTTTTGCTAACCCAAAAGTTCAGAGTTCGAACCCTTGGGCAGATGAGGCTCATCAGATAGGAACAGCAACACATCTATGAGAGAAAATTGCAAAATCAAACAGGAGTGGAGCCCCATAGGCAATAGGATTCCCAACTCCTGCAGCTCAGCTTATGTCACATTGTATAAGTACCATCCTGTCCCTTAGGTCCACATCTGTGTCGGGAGAGGGGGGTCTGATATGTCGACATCTGGCTTTTCTCATCTTACCACTCAGGCTTTGTGCTTAGATATTAAATGTCAATCATCTAATGGTCTATTAGACTATGGAGCCATATTATATAATTAAACAAAAGATGTCAACAATTTTTTTAAAAAAAAGAAATGCTAGCTTACCTCTTTTTTGCCAAAGTCACCTCCAGGATTCATAGTGGCAAATACATGGAAATCATCAGAGGCTTTAAGAACTTCTACATCTGACACAGTGCCCATTTCTCCCCCACTTCCTTTTTCTGCTAGAAGTATTGTCCTTTCTGGTTCTAAAACACTATGAAGAGAAGATTCCACTTTATTTTAAAATGCATATTGAAATTTTAAAAATCATATCTTATCAATGATTATGTTATCTAAAATTAAAAGGTAGAGAGTAAAAAAATTTATAGCCAAGAATCCAGGTAATAAAGTCTGATTACCACACAATAATCAAACTTTTAGGTTGGCTATTGTTTTAAATAATAAAAAGTAAGTATATATTAACAAACCTATTTAATCTCTCAAGCACAGAGTCATCAGCTAAAGATATTTCATCAATTAGAAACATAGCCCCTTCTTTCATTGCAAGAACTAATGGTCCATCTTTCCATTCAAACAGCCTGTGATCATCAGTCTTTTCCTGAAAATAGTAGGGCTGAAATGTGCATCTTATCACTACTACTATTTGGTGTAGAGGTGGCTGGGCATATTCTGACCACATTATTTATACATAAGCCAAGGTCACTGAAACAGGTGAATTCTATTGGACCTGAAATTTACTTCACCTGCCATAGGAACAGGTTTAAAAGGGTACTTTACTTAATATTCAGTATATTACTTTACAATATCATGTATGACCTATTATATTACAAGAAAATAAAACAAGGAATAATAGATTCTATCATTAGATAGCCTAAAAAAAAACAAGAAATGGAGATCACCAGAAAGATTTTTTTAAACATTATATTAGAGCTTTTTCACTCACAAAAATTTAAAATTGGAAAAAAAAATGGATGCATAATTCTTGAAATAGAACCTGGGTAATTTGAAAACATTTCTTGAATTTCTAAAACTCATCATTTACTATTGTTTAATCAATAGCCGTAGTGTCATACATTTAAAAAATAGGTTCAAAATAACTGTGTTCAAATTTAAAATGTTAACCAGCAATGGTATGATATAAAAGTTTTTAAATAACATCAAACATCAAAAAAGATGCTTACATCCTCATGAGATCTGACAGGTCTTAAACCACCCAGGAAATCTGCACTCTCAGTGTGCATGTGGCAGTTGATGCTATAAAATGTTTTTCCTTGCATGGCAGCATACAACTGACAGACTGTAGTCTTTCCTACTCTGTTAAAAAAAAACAACAACTAAAATAAATTCAAAGAATATACAGAAGACTGATTTTATGCCTAAAATTAAATTGAAAACTAAAAGTCTTATTTTTTTTGTGCTCTCCATAGGGAACTAAGGGACTAGATAACAGTTGTGGGTCACTAAATGTTTATGTGCACTACTTCACTGGCTAATATCTCAAAGATTCCAAGATACATCCACCTAGTCATAGGCTTTCTAGCTTAGGTTGAAATAAGCATTTTAAAAAAAAAACATTTATTTTTTAATACCTACAACCGTTACCAACTTTTAATTCACCAGTTTCATAAGTTAAGAAACTCAATAAGTGTGTCATCGTGTTAACTAAACAGAAAAACACATACCCTGTGTCTCCAACTAGTAGCACAGGCTCCTTAAACCTGATGGCTTGTCCTATCAACACAGCCAGCCTCCTCATGTTGTATGTCCAAACCACATGTTGAAACTCTGGCATACCCTGGTTCATCACTGAGTTCAGCAAAGTCTTAATGGGGGCGGATGTTTGAGGGGTGAGGTTAAACAGTGCCTCGGTAGACAGCTTTCTCTTGAAGTGTTTTTCTAGAACTTCTACAATTATGACTTCCTCCTCTGGTTTTCTTACACGGCCAGCTAGCAACATATAGCCTGTGTAATAAAAAAAAAAATATTTTATCAACTTGGTTATAATATCAGCATTAATCTTACAAATTAGTTTTTGCTAAATTATTTTTAAGCAAAAAAAAAATAAATAAATAAATCATTGTTACACCAAAGCTTAATAAGAATCACTAATTAACCTAGACCTTAATTAAATCCGTAAAGATAAAGCATTACAAGCCAAACTATGCTTTCCCAGGCCACAGTCACAGAAATACATGAGCTCTAGCTCATATTCCTTATGTCAGATTATGAGGATACTCTGATATCAACCAAAAATCCATTAATAAGGAAAATAGTCATCATCTAACTGGAAGTGTAATATGTAAAACTTATTACAACTCAGCAATAAAAACAAATGTTACCATGTTCAACAAGGTGTTGATCCCAGTCATAAAACTTCTCCCCTCTACCAGCCTCTGAGCAGTTGTATCTCAGTGCCCATCTAAACAGGTCTCTTAGCGTCATGAAACCATGTTTACCAGAAAATATCCCAGATCCTCTACGGCGAGTCTGTAAGTTAAGTTTATAATGTAAGTTTAATTTGATAAATATCTGAATAAGATTTTAAAAGCTTTCAATAATAAGATAAAAGAAGAAAATATTTTTTTAAAAGAAAGCAGATCTTTAGAAATTTAAATATAAAAATTAATGTCTGAATTAGGAACATAATTATTGGAAGAAATACAGTCTATACATTCTATTTGTACCTAAAAAGTATTGAGTCTGACATAATCAAGTGAGAATACTAACCTGCAACTCCAACATAACAACAACCAACTTCTTTGCATATGACAAAGGAATTCCACATCTTTCGTGAAGAATTGTCTCCAACTCGGATGGGGGGATCTCATCAAAATGAAGTTCTATGAACCGGTTACGGAAGGCTCTAGAAAGAATCTAATAATAAACAACGTTGAAGTGATTATTATTTTTATAGAGACAATTATTAAAATAATAATTATTAAATAAATAGCTTGAAATGTTTTAAACAAAAGAAAGAAACTTTGAATGTGACTATAAAATCATACTATAACAAACCTTTCTTCCACCATATAGTCCTGGGGGATTCTGAGTGGCAAAGAGAATAAATTTAGGATGAGCTTGAACCATTTCCTGCGTCTCTGGGATGTAAAGCTCTTGGTTGTCGTCAAGAAGCTGTAGGTTAATATTTTAATTGATATAGTTAAAAATGCATGAGGGATGAAATATTCTTGGTTATTGTGTGACCTCTGCATAAAAAAAGAATAGTGCGGTCAGTTCTATGGCCTGACAACTTTACTACCTCTTAGCGAGGGTCACATTAGAGCTAGGTGGACTCAGAAACATCCTATGATCTCAAGTTCAGGATCTGAGCTTGAGACTTTCAGGTCAGCAGTCCTGCGCTCTACCTCCCACCCACACAGTCCGATATAATCAACAGCTTAAACTTAAAACTGCTTACAACCTATGTGACATTTGAGAAGATGTGATACCTCTGGAACTTAGATGTAAATAAGAGTTCTGCAGAAAAGATTACTTACTCTATTCAGTGCCTCAAGTACATCGGTTGGAGCCAGATTCAGCTCATCTAAGATGATCCAGTGACCCTTTCTCATGGCATCAACAAGAACACCTAAGATAAAAAAAAAGTTTTTATTATTTGAACAACCTCAATATACTTTCAGCAGTCACTGATATTTCTAGCATTTTTCAGGTGGAAATCATATAGTTCAAAGGGATTTAAATTTTAAGTTTAAAAATAATTGAGTCAGATAAAATGTGGTAACTTAATAATTAACTGGTTTTATTATCCTATGAGAACCTCTTAATTATAACTCCACTTTATTTTCATAAGAAACACCTACTTTATTTTTTTTTTAAAGAAAAAATCAACCAAAATAACTGGTGTTCAGAAAGACAAGCTGAATATTCAAAAATTTTTTTAGGCCTATATGATTTATTTTTAAAAACTTCCTTTCTTAAAGTTTGTTTTTTTTGAAAATCTTTAGAAATGTAGTTTAAAAAAAACAATTAAAAACAGTTTACCTTCTTTAAAAACTAGTTTTCCATGTTCATCTGCAGCGTAGCAGCCAATGTACTCCTGCAGATCTGTGTGCTCATGGTTGTTCACCCTGACACAAACGTTACCAGTGAGCTGAGCAAGGTAGGTAATTAAACTTGTTTTACCCACTGAGGTTTCACCTTGGATCAGCACTGGGTGTTTCCTGTTGGAAATGTCAAGCCTATTAATATACTAGTCAGGCTGAAATCAAAGTCAACGGCCTATTACAAGTTGACATGACGTATACTTAAAAATTGTGTTGGAGGGAATCTCTTCCAACACTAAAAATTAAGAAAGCAGAAGAAGAAAAAAGAAATATACTAGTTATACATGGAACTAAGGGGCTATCCAGCCTGACTACTTGAATAGCCCAAGGCTATTAATATATTAGTTCTACATGGATTTATAGAGCCATCCAGCCATATAAATAATGATTGTGTGCCAATAGTCAAGCCACTAATGCTGACTTCATCAGATGTAAGTATAATCCTATATCTAGAGACTCAACAAGAAAAGATGGTAAGCAAGAGGGAAAAAACATGAGATGACCCTAGACCTAACACAGATTTAAACATAAATCTGTATTGCAGGATGGCAAAACTAGGGCTTGGCAAACATTACTAAGAAAAATATTCCTACCCTAGTTTAGTAAAAAGCCATCTAAATTTTTTTAGATTATTTCTTTAAAAAAAAACTAAAAGTGTAGAAAAAAATTAAGTAGTATTACAATGATTTCTACTCTTATCTTTGTATATAGTTGTTATTCCTACCAAAACAACTATTTGACTCAACAAAGAACTTTTTACCAACAGCACTAAACCAACAATTACAAATATTTATAATAATCCACTTACCCTGCTGATACAACTCTAGCTAAATCTTTTAGATTCAGTTTCACAGAAGGAGTGACAATATAATCAGCTGGTGTGCTAGGGTTTAGCTGTCCCTTAGATATCCAGTAGTCAGCAACTTGGATGAAATCTGCCTCCTTTTCAGGCTTGGGCAGCTTCTGTCCCAGTATTGCCTTGCTCCCAGTGTTGTGCAGCAGATGCTTGCAAATAAGATCACAGACTAGTGGATGTGAGGACCGATCAAGTTGAGTGAGGAAGCTCAGGCTAAATCCCTACAAAAGGAAACAAGTCATTAAAATAAAACTTTCAAACTCATGAAGGTAAATTACTGTCCTTTTTAAATAATGAGCAATTTATATGAATTAAAATGAATAACAGAGTTAAAAAAGATACTAGATACTTTGAAAATAGATCATACCTCATAGAGAGATCTTGGCACACTTTTACAAGGATTTCTAGCGCAGTACCTCAAAGCACGACATAGGGTTCGCAAGCTAGAAAACACAAAATAATTTATTCATTAATAAATTGTTGTTAACTAGTGACGATAATGTGTCAGTAATATTGTGGTGAATAGAAGTTAAATGCGCATTAGAGGTAGTCTAATTGAAAATTTGGCAAAGGGGTCAAAGGCCAACTTAATCAATCAAGTCCTAGGTTATTTTAGGTAGGTATTCTTTCTGTATAAGAGATAACAGACCACTTGTTTTGCAACATACAGATGAAGACAAATTGAGAAACAAAAATTGTTGAGTGCAATTTCTAAAGAGAATTTGAATAGATTAAAAAAAAAGGTAGCCATTTAAAAAACAAAAAAGACTACACATACCTATAATGAGGTTTGTGACCTGTTCCATCTGTAAGCTTCTCTGAGGGGTCATTTTTTATGCTGAGGTAGAAGCTAACAATGCCAGACACTTGTTTGGAACTCAATGACAAGCCTGGGAGGTAATCCCGTACCAATGTGCTCAGATCTTTAGAGCACTCGAGCTCTTCAACAAAGAACTCGGTGAACCTGTAGAGCCAAGCAATGTTTACTTTATAATGTCTTTTTTTATAGTTGCCTTAAATGAATGTTATTTTTTTAATCTTTGGCAAATACCTAAAAAATGTAATATTGCTTTTTTCAGCAGTTCAAAAAACCAATGTCTAATGTAATTTTATAAAGTTGTCTCCTATAGAACATAGTTTATAAAATAGGAGGCTCTAAAAATAGAAAAAAACTTGCCTGTTTCTTATTCCAACGGAGAGATCTTTTTTACCAACATCTGTTGCTGGATTCATACAAGCAAAAAGTCTGAAATCTGGATGTCTTGTGATAGGTTTTATGTCTCTGAAGATACAATTTGTTTTATTGATGTAAACATGCAATTCAAACATTGTTTAAATTTTGAAAATAAATTATTTGAATTTAATAACTGATTTTTTTTGTATTCAAATCATTAAAACATACCCTCTTTCTGTCAACACTATAGATCCTGAAACACTCTCCAACAGCCCACTTAGACATTCCAAAGTTTCTGCAGTGGCTAAGTTGATTTCATCCAATAGAACCCAATCTCCATTGCGCAAAGCTCTCACTAAGGTACCCTGTTATAAAAATAAATTTAACATTTTTTTTCAGTACAATGAAACTAACAGAAAATATCTGAAAATATATTCAAAACTAAACTAAAACAACATTTAATGACCTCTGTAACTTTTAAATTCTCATTCTATCTCATTGTGTATTATAACTGTAATATTTCTTTATTTCAAATTTTTTAATGCTATGTTACTGCTGTCTTTACTACTCAATTTCTTTTATAATAAGATGTTATTATGTTTAAAAAAAATGGCCAATGTGAAAAAAAGGCCTCCATGCTTACTGTTGTTACCGTTATTGAATAAATAAATAAATAAAAACACATTAAAAATTATTGCATTACCTCAATAAAAGAAAATGCCAAGACATTTTCAGCATCTCTGATCTGTTTTCTGAGTTCACTGATCCTGTGTTTAACTTTAATCCATTTCTCTTGTTGCTCCAAATCTACAGAGTCCAAGAAAAAATATCCTTCAGATTGATGTAAAAATTTATTTTTTATGTCTTAGTGTTAAAAACAAAAATGTAAGAAGTTTACACAAATTTTTACCTGTATTGAACTTGTTGAGGGCTTTCTGAATAGGAGCTTCCATCAATGTCAACAAATCGCTCCAGCTTTTCTTTAGAAACAAGGCCTGAAATTTTAAAACAAACTTATGTGTGATGAATACTGTTTTAATTTAAAATATGTTGGACGGGAGAAAATATTAACAAGGAGAGATATACATGTTATTTAATAAATTATGGGATTGGTACATCTACACAACATGTGAAATAAGGTACAAAATGTGATGAATAATGTCCAAGATTTTAAAATGTACCTGAATGTGTGAAAGGAACTTCTCATTCTGAACCCTTGAAAAGGCCTGGCAGAACAAAGTTTCAAATTCTTCCCTCACAGGCATGATAACAAATTTCAAGTCAACTGGCTTAAACCTGCAAGTATAAAAAGATAAAGCTATTGCTCTCTACATTTCAGAAAATAATAAAAGCAACAATGATCTAAAATTTAGTTTGGGGGGGGGGGGGGGTTTATGGTCCTTAACGAGCTACTTATAGTGTTTTAAAGAAATATTTTCAGTGTCAGCATTGGTACTGTCGAATTCACAAATTATGAATTACTGAAAAGTAGAAAAAACAACAACTAAATAGCAGCGTATGTTATGCCGCGGGCCGGCTCGTAGTAATTAATAATCTCAAAGTATTTATTATATCATTCTATCATTTACTTACCCTCCTAAGAGATCTGTACTATCACTTTGTTGGTTTAAATTTATTACATGTAATTTATGACCTGTGAAAAGAGAAAATTTAATTTATAAATCATATATATATATTGACTAAAAATACAAAAAAGAAACAAGTTACCATTTTTGTTTGTATTCTAATTTTAATTAATTAAACATACCTAAATAATGGGCCAGAAATTGTACAGTGGATGTTTTTCCAGTTCCAGTTTCCCCACATAACAAAACTGGTTCATTTCTTTGTACGCACACAGAGACTTTTTCAAGCAGTATTACAGATGCTCGGGTGTAAGAAAATGTAGGGGCTGGTTTACTGCAGAAGAGTTAAGTTACAGCTTGAGTGCTGAAGCTGAAGTAATTTAATGCACAAATAATCAAACAATAAAGACAAAAGAATTTAAGCTTTACCTTGAAAAACTTGCTAAGGGCAGCTTTTTCTTGGTTAGTTTGGCTCTCCCTACTTCTAGACTATCTTGAGTCTCACGCAGGGTTGGTTTATGTTCTGTACAGAAATACTTTGACTGAAACATAAATTATACATTATCAGCATAATATAAAATATATTTGAAAGAGAATCAAAGCTTTTTAATACAATTATTTTGTGTACTGACATATAGTCAAATTAGAGAACAATCAATAACATTATGCCAAAAATAATGAATATTTTTAAACATTAAACATTTTAAATTAAACATTCAATACAGGACTTATTTTTCTGAAAGCTTAGGAAATATGTAAATTAATTCAATATGTGCAATAAATAGGCTTTTAACTATTTTTACTATACATGAGGACTTGAAAATCTAAGGATTACCTACCCTATCTTCAGTCAAATTGAGCTTTACACCTATAGCTGATGCTAGAGACAGCCTCATACTGGGTTTTGATAAACATGAAACAAAGCAGTCTAAGGCTTCAAGAAACACTTTCAGGCCCTGTGTTGATACTTTATGGTCAAAATCAATACTTGAACGACTACACCATGTCATTAGATCTCTGTTGATAAAAAAATTCTTTGTTGTAATTTTTGTAATTTAATTCACTGCCTGATCCAATAATGGCTTGCATTCAGTAATCAACCAAATTACATTATCATGAAAATACCTTGTTGAAATCAACCTGCCATCAAGGGAGAGAAACTTCCCATGGGTGGACAACTCTTCTGTTTCTTCAGCATCTCCCATGTTGTGTTTACCAGCTGATAGCATAAAATATATGTTCAGCAGCTTGTCTACAACAGGGCTAAGTGCAGGGTACTTTACTGAAATTACCTGAATTAAATTAAAAAAACACTTGTAAAAGTCATTTTACTTCAGGAAAAAAAGGCTTAACCATCTATTTCAAATTATGCTTAATTTATGCACACACAAATTTTGGATAGGAGAATGTATCATGCCATAAGAAAAAAAATCTGTATTATGTATTTAAATTATCCTAAATATTATGAGACAAACTTACTATTTACTTTCATGATATAAATATAATTAAAATTAAGTTTCAAGCAGCTTGAAAAGAAATTTAATCTTATGAAACTTATCTATACATTTTCTAATAAATAACATAATAATTGTCAAATTATTTTATTAGACATTTGGTGTCATTTTTCTATAATTTAGCATTTTCATTCATTTAATTATCTTAAATTGTTAACCGAAAACATCATGAAACAAAATAGTGTTGTCTGATGTTCAGCTCTACAGTAGGTAGAGGAGGGGAGGGAGGGGTTGAATATTTTACTGTAAAAGTTCATAATTAATAGAGATGGTATCTTGGTGTCTTTATATGTTTAAAAAGCTAATAAAAGCTTAGCACATGTAATGTTTACCTCTTTTAATTCATCCCTGGACAATGGTTCAACATTTATAACAGCACACAACTTTTCCAATACAACACAACTTCCTGCTCTCTGATGATGTAACCCACCAGAGGAACTGTGTAATCTAAAAAAAATAGCAATGATGTAAATAAATATAAACTACATACAATCTCATAAACAAATAACAATATACAAAAAAAAAACTGATGTGTGTTCCCCTGCAACACAGTATTTAATTTCTATATCTGACACCTCTACCCTAACTGTAATGTCCTGACAGTAACAGAAAAGTACCCACACAAAAAACAATTTACTACAAATGTTTAGGTTAACAATTATATTTCCCTGCCATAAAAGGTGAATATTTTTTGGATTGATCACCTAAGTCACTAGCTTAAACTGTAACTTATAAAAAAAAAAAAAAAAAAAAAAATATAAGACCTAGTACAATATTTTTATGCCATGACATACATTAACTCAGTACTCCTACTATTGTACAATCTATGTTTTTCCTGTCTTAAAAACATAATCTTTAAAGAACTAAAGATACATAAAATTATGACTTAAAATATATAAAGTTTTAATTATTAAAATAATGTAACAATCATGCATGGATTACCTCTGTGTGGTGAACAATTGAAATCCAGGCGACGCCCTCACTTCATCCCCATGCCCTGGCACTGACAAGCTTCCTGTTTCTGCTAATGCCACCAATAAGGACAGGACATCCATTGGGGCAGTGTCAACATCCTCTAACAGCACCCAGCTCCCTGCTAGTATAGCCTGAGTGAGAACACCAGCTCTCCAGACAAACTCTCCAGGTATCTCAGTACTACAGTACGTACCTAGAAGTGCCTGTAATAAATTTGATCTTAAATAAAACTAGCCGGCTACATATAGGTGTGCTAGGGCCTTGTCGTGGCTTGGCAGCTTGCGTACCCTGACGACCCCCAGAGCTATACCAGCGGGAGTGTTAACTCCTGGCAGGTTCAACCAAGCTGGGAAGGTCTGCGCGGGTAGGGGTCAGACGAAAGCTAGCACCCTGGTCCTCCAGGTTGGGGGTTGAGCATAAGGTCAGCAACCTTATCTCGTAAAACAAATTACCCGCTACAGAAACGCAGACAGAGAGAAACAAAGACAGCTCGGACCAGGGGAAAAATGGATCTCCCGATGGAGAATTTATGAAGCCGGGTGGTGAAAGCCAATATGTATTGGAAACTACCAGGTCGACCACCATTATTTCCACTAGGACCACCATCAATATTGGAGCTTGGAATGTCCGCACGATGTACGAAGCTGGAAAAGCAACCCAAGTAGCAGCAGAAATGAGACGCTATAAAATAGCTATCCTGGGTGTCAGCGAATCAAGGTGGACTGGCTCAGGACAAAAAAGGCTGATATCAGGAGAGCTACTGCTGTACTCAGGTCATGAGGATGAAAATGCACCACATACTCAAGGAGTTGCACTCATGCTATCAAACCAAGCACAAAGGGCTCTCATCGGATGGGAGGCACACTGCCCGCGGATCATAACAGCTACCTTTAAAACTAAAATAAGACGAATAAACATGGACATAATACAGGCCTACGCCCCAACAAATGACAGCAAAGAGGAGGACAAAGACGAATTCTACAACAGGCTAATGACCATTATCCAGAACCGCCCAAGAAGAAACATCCTTATACTCATGGGCGACTTCAATGCTAAGATTGGAAGCGACAACAGAGGATATGAAGAATGTATGGGACAGCAGGGTTTAGGTGAGATGAACGAAAACGGAGAAAGATTTGCTGACTTGTGTGCCACAAATAATTTAGTCATTGGAGGTAGTCTCTTTCATCACAAAAGGATACATAAAGCTACTTGGGTATCACCCGACCTATCTACAGAAAACCAGATAGACCATATATGTATCATAAAAAAGTTCAGGAGATCACTTCAGGATGTACGCGTCAAGAGAGGAGCTGATGTTGCTTCAGACCATCACCTACTGGTAGCTAAAGTAAAACTCAAGCTGAAGAAAAACATGTCGGAAAACAAAAGGAAATACAGGTACAACACAGGCCTGCTAAAGGACCCATCTAAACTCAACGAATTTAAACTTCATATGTCCAATAGGTTCCAGGTACTACAAGAACTAATAGAAGAAGAGACGATAGAGGAAACATGGGAAAAAACTAAAAGTATATTAACATCAACATGCGAAGAAGTGCTAGGCCCTATCAAAGGACAAGCGAAGGAATGGATATCAGCAGATACCATGAAAATTATTGAAGAGAGAAAAAGAAAGAAGGCAACATTAAACAACAGCCGCACACGGGCTACGAAATTAAAAGCACTGGAAGAATACACCGAAACGAACAAAAATGTAAAGAAACACATAAGGAAAGACAAACGGAGCTATTTGGAACTGCTGGCAAGAGAAGCGGAAGAAGCACTGTACCATGGTAATATTAGGGACGTGTACAATACAATTAAGAAGATATCTGGTAAGTACAGTAAGCCAGAGAGGCCAGTGAAAACCAAAGATGGAAAGACAATACCCGATGCGGAAGGACAGATGAAGAGATGGGTAGAACATTTTGAAGAACTACTGAATAGACCAACACCAGAGTGCACGCAAGACATACCACCAGCTGAAAGTGACCTCCCTATAGACTGCAACCCACCTTCAAAAGAAGAGATACATAGAGCTACAAAGCAGCTGAAAAATTGGAAGGCTCCAGGAATAGATGGTATACCGGCAGAAGCACTGACAGCAGATATAGAAACTAGCACCACACTACTATACACACTCTTCAAGAAAATCTGGGAAGATGAACAAATACCAGAGGAGTGGAAGGAGGGACTACTCATAAAGCTTCCAAAGAAAGGCGATCTTAGTGCATGCTCTAACTATAGAGGGATAACACTTTTGTCCATCCCAGGCAAAGTCTTCAACAGAATATTATTAAACAGAATGAAGGAAGCCATAGATCCCCAGCTTCGAGATCAACAGGCGGGCTTTAGGAAGGAAAGGTCATGCATAGACCAAATTGCTACCCTGCGCATCATCATTGAACAGACCCAAGAGTGGAACTCATCTCTCTACATTAATTTCATAGACTATGAGAAGGCCTTTGATAGCCTGGATAGGCAGTCAATGTGGAAATTGTTGAGACACTACGGGGTGCCACAGAAAATAGTCAACATTATTATGTCTTCATATGAAGGTCTCAAATGTAGAGTAGTGCATGGCCAACAGACTACAGAGGCCTTCCCAGTACGGACCGGAGTAAGGCAGGGTTGCCTACTTTCACCATTCCTGTTCCTACTGGCCATAGACTGGGTTATGAAGATGTCAACAGAGAAAACGCGAAACGGTATACAGTGGACATTGTGGAGCCAGCTGGATGACCTGGACTTTGCTGACGACCTGGCCCTCCTTTCTCACACACAACAGCAAATGCAGGATAAAACCAACAGGATTGCAAATTTTTCTACAAGCCTGGGTCTGAACATCCACAGAGGGAAAAGTAAAGTTCTCAAAGTCAATGCATCAAACAACAACCCTATAACACTGGCAGAAGAAGCCCTAGAAGAAGTGGATAGATTCACCTACCTTGGAAGTATTGTTGATAAGCAGGGTGGGACAGAAGCAGACATAAAAATAAGGACGGGTAAGGCAAGAGCAGTCTTCACCCAACTAAAAAATGTTTGGGGTTCGGGAGATTTAACCCTTAGAATAAAAATCCGGATCTTCAACACACTAGTAAAACCTGTTTTACTCTATGGAGCCGAGACATGGAGAATAACTGCTATAAATAAGAAGAAAATACAATCATTTATAAACGCATGTCTCAGAAAGATCCTGCGAATTCGCTGGCCTAAAACCATCAGAAATGATGTTCTATGGCAACGGACAAATCAACTGCCAGTGGAAGTAGAGATCCTCCAGAGAAAATGGAAATGGATTGGCCACACACTCAGGAAGCCTGTATCCAGCATAACAAGACAGGCCCTCACCTGGAATCCACAAGGCAGGAGGAAGAGAGGCAGACCAAGAAAGACCTGGAGACGTGACCTGGAAGAAGACACCAAGAAGATTGGATACACCTGGGGACAGTTGGAGAGACTAGCCCTGGACAGAGACGTCTGGAAAGCTCTTGTCAGCGGCCTATGTCCCAGTAGGGACGACAGGCAAACATGACATGACATGACATATAGGTGCCCCATTACTCATCACAAATAAAAACTAGACAGTTACTTAGTTGCCTCATTACTCATCACTGTTATACTAAAGCCTACTTGACCTTAAGGAATATATTATATGCATTACAGTGATTCAATGAAAATATCTTCAACCAATTCTTAACACAGTTTATACATTCTGCTTGACAAAACATTTTTAAGACAACATCTTGATATCTAAAATTCTAATAACTAACAAAACAGCAATATCAAAAAAAAAACCTTAAAGTTGAATGTACCAAAAGGTATACAACTTAGCACACTGGCCTTTTGAATTAACCAGCTTCTTAGTGATACAATTTATATTTATAGCATAAGAGAATTGTTCTAGGATGCTCACTTTATTGTCAGTTTGGTCGCCCAACTGAATTTTTAGTAGCTCAGGTACTTTGTGACGACCAGTAAGTTTTCCTAAGTATTCAACCAAGGTTGTTTTTCCACAGCCAACAGGACCCTGAAGCATCACTGGTTTATGGCAAGACACTGCTAATGCTAAGCTTCGAAGATGTTGCTTAGTTGAAGGAACCAACACTAATGAATTCAAGTCCTGCAGAGAGAGAGAGGTTACTTTATGTTGAACAGCTAACAGTTGTAAATTCACATTTATTCCATAAAATCAACCTTAAAAAAAACAATTTATCTTCTATGTGTGATATTAACCCATCATTGCATTGTGCGCCCCACATTTTCCTGATGTGTTACAGTCAGACATGTATGTATAGTTCAATTATTTTCATTTAGTAAATGGCTTGCTGTTAACAAGATTTTGCAGATACCAGATGTTTTATTTGCATGTTTTTCCAGATGTTTTATCACTAGCAGTTAATTTTTCTACATTTTTTTCAAGCTAAGATTATTTTTTTTTGTATTTATATAAAATTCAAACTAATTATAAAGCAACTGCAGTTGAGTAGGGCTTCTACATTGTTCTACAACAAATTTTATAATTAAGACTTATGGTCAAAATATTTTATAAATTCATATCTTGAGGTTGTAATACTACTTCTATTAACACAAATTTTGGTTATCCGTTAGATACCTTTTCCTCCAGTGCTGAATTCAATCTTGGCAGCAATATCCCCATGACATCTACAACATCTGGGCTAAGATCACCAGTGATCATACTCTGTCTGGTGTGAGTCTGGTCTGTCAAGAGTTCATTAACATACACTGTTCCAGAAAGAGACAACACCTTCTCTTGAATCTTTTGTTTTTCAGACTCCATTCTATCAAATTGAAATGTGACATAAATTATAGGATTTGTATTTATCATCACTTTTTACTTTGGATTTTTTTAGATTACGATTCGTTGATATTTAAATTAAATGTAATAACATTATAAAGACAATTTCAACAAATTATAAGTAACAATAAAAACTTCTCAAATGATAAAAATAATTGTATTTGAAAAATAAAAGAACTAATTACTTCCTCATTATGAAATATTTGATTAAATGAACTTAAACCTACCTTAATAAAAGGGATCTATGCTCTTCAGGAGTAAAATACTTTTTTAAAAACAACTGTGTTTCATTCTCTGACATGGATAGATACCTGCTTATTGCTAATGCTGCATACCTGTAAGTAGGAGCAATTAGGTTACATTTTTTTGGTGAAACCTATAAACATAAATAATTAGCGAAGCAAATTTCACTGACCAGCATCACAGAAGATAGTCAGATAATTTTGATTGTTATATTTTGAAATGATAAAGGAATGTCTCAGAATACTAAAAATGGTAAAATCAAATCTGCAACAATTCATTTTTTTTTAAAATACTAACCATCTGACAACTATGTCTGTTGAAGACAAATAATCATATAGACTTGACATATCTATTTTACTAACTACTTCTGGCAGGTATTCTAGGTAATTCCAAACACCACAACACCAATCAAGATCTGGCATCTGAAATTATGAAAATACTTTACAATCTACTAAAAAATACTTTTTAAAAGTAAGTTTCATGTTTTGCACAAATTGAGCTCATCTTTTTTTTATATTTACATCAGCATGAAAAGGCATTGAGCAATCAGCCAAGCTTTCTTGAAAACTTAACTCTAGTGGTAAAAAAAAGTAAAGTACCCTTTAAACCTGAAGATAAGGCAGCTGCATCTTCTTTCTCCTATGTGAGTCAGGTACCCATCAACCCATAATAGTTCAAAACTAAAATTAGCCCAATTTATAACCATCAAAATTTCTAAATTGACCTACTTGATTTTTTTTGGCTTTTTTCTTTGTAGGTTCTTCACTGGACAAAGTGTCTGACAGAGAAAATGGTTTGTACAGTCTGACAAAGTCTGCAGCATACCTTAGATAAAATAGTATAAAAAATGATCAATTTCAAAATCATCATGAAAACATTTATACTTATCTTCTGTAGAATGAAATCATAAATTCTAAACAGTTTTTTATCTTATATAATATTATCTCAGTGCCAAATTTATCATAGCGTTTCAGTTAAATAATCCATAACTCAAAAGCATACAAAAAAGATTATGTAATAAATATATAAGACTGTTAAAAGTTAAATTTTATTTCGTTTGTAAAAAAACATTGTACTGCAACAAAACCATAACATTGATTTGGGTCTTTCCTCAATTAACTACACAATAAGGTGGTTGCTTTTTTCTGATAACTTTATTTAGTTGGTTTAAGAACTTGACTAAGGGAGATTATGTTGTAACAACCTAGATACAAACTGATCACAGGTAGGTATTATAAAGGCCTTTCCTACTTACCTCTGAAGCTCATGGCTAATGCAGAACCCTCTGCTGATTGATACTGCAAGCTTTTTAATTAGTCTATGTCCTGAGTGTCCTTCACGCAGAATGGAGGAAGTAAGTCGTGAAGCTAATTCCAGCACAAGAGGCCCAAAACATACACACAAGTCCACTACACATTCACCATTGAGCAGAAACTCAGACAAAATATTGAGAATTTCATCTCTGTCACTCTGTGTCCAAATCTGTAACAAGAAATTTTCTATTTAAAAAAAGCACATAATTAAAATGCAAGTATTTTCTTGTTACTACTAATGCAGCTTTGAGAGTCAATATTTATTAGCATGACATTAAAATACGGACCAACTCAAGATATCTGCAATATTGGCTTAAACATTTTTATCCAACCTTTATAAAATATTAAAATGATACGCTAAAGGAAAGAAAACTCATTTAAATGTATTTGTATTTTAATTGTGAATGATTGTTTTGATCATAATAAATAATAAATTGAAGTAGGCCTAATTAATAGTAGATCTAATTATTATTATGGATTGTGAATGATTGTATTATAATAAATAATAAATTGAAGTAGGCCTAATTAATAGTAGATCTAATTATTATTATGAATTGTGAATGATTGTTTGTATGCGACTTCACTTATGTCACTCAAGTTAGTAAATAATAAATAGTTGGATTTGGAGTAGGCTTCAGTGTTCATGTTAGTACTAGATCTAGATTAACTAGATCTAGTACTCACTAGTAGACTCTAATACTATTGCACTATATTGCATAATATAGTGCGGTCAGTTGTTAACTTTCTATACTTAGGCCTAGATCTATAGCATGGACTTTTGGACAAAGTTGGTCACAAAGCAGGTAAACCTCCATTTTAGCTTATTTTATTCCCCGCTTCACGTTCACCTCCAGTTAAGCGTATTTTATTGTAAACACAACCGAAACACACAAAAACGTTAGGAAAAACACTAGATCTCCTTTTTTTAATGAATGTGATTTTTAATTAGAAAAGGTAAAAAAAAAACATAAAAAAGCATTAGAACTGTTCCAATTAAATATCAAGTGATCGTCAGCGGGAGAAAAATCCTTACACTGTCGCGGGTCCACCGTGCGTTCACATTGACTTTAATTATCAGCATACGTCATAGCTCTGGCAATATCTGTTTGAAATTGTGTTGGCCTCAGTTTGGGGGTCATTGTAAGTTCATAAATGTTTATTTATAGTATCTTGCTTGGGAAATACTTGTAACTTGTAACAATACAAACTTAATCGCCTTGCAATTGTGAGTTACGCTTACGTACTTCACCCATTGCCATGAAAATTCTAACTGACACACGAACATTACATAGCACATTCAATATTCTAAATTTGGAATTTTCTCAAGTTTTGACAAAAGTTAATTATTAAAATCTAAAACTAAGTCAGTCTCTTTGTTTTTTTTAATTCATTTGTTAAAACAAAAATACATTCATTAGGCCTAGGCCTACAAATAAATAAATCGTGTTTTCCTAATGTTTTGGTGTGGTTCGGTTAGGCCGATGCTAGCCGGAATAAGATACGCATGCGCAATGGAGAGAAACTACGACTTGCCTTCGCTGTGATGTTTTCGATGGTACTGCGCATGCGTGTGTTTACAACCGCAGAACCCTAACACCAACCCTAAACCTATCCCTAACCCTGTCCCTAATCCTATCCCTAACCCTATACCTAATCCTACCCCTAACCCTCATTCTAGCCCTAACCCTAGCCATAGGTCACTGTGCATGCGCAGAGCTATCTTTTGCCGACTAAGTGGAGACGTTGGGGAGAAAAATCTTCCGAGTAGTCACTTCGTTTCGGTTATTCTAATAAAATACGCTCAACTGGAGGTAAACAAGAAGCGAAGAATAAAATACGCTAAAATGGAGTTATTCTAAGCAACCTCACCTGTTTGGGTAAAAATCGCTGTAATTTCGTTGCATACAGCTGATTTATTTTGCAGAGTTGACTAATCGGAAATAGCAAATTCCAGAATGATAGGTTTGTCCTTTCCATTCTCTAATTCATTTGTTAAACTGTTAATTCAAATATACAATGTAGAGTTGGATCTAGAAATCAACCGCTTTTATCAAGAAATGATAACCGCAGTGTCAGTAGTCTAGTAAAAACAAAATGAAAGTTGTCCACATGGATAGCATTATGATTTAGACTAGCAGACAAGAGATTTCGCAAAGAGGAATAACTCATGTTGATGACTACCAGTTTAACTACTTTCGACTTTTTGATCTTTTAAAATTATTATTATTATTTTCCAAGGGAGAATTATGATAAAATTAAAATAATTCTATACTCACAAATCAGCATTAAGAAATCACAAATGAAAATATTCAAAAAAAGTAAAAAATAAATTTAGTTTGGTGTAACCTTACTAAAGCCATGTCAGTGTTTGTTCCAGACTTTTTTCTCCGGGGGTGCACTTAAAATTTGGGGGGGGGGGGAGGATGGGGGAGATTTTCTTCGGGGGGGGGGGGGACGGGGGACGGACACTGTTAAAAGTATTTCTTTTCTATATAAATTTCATTTCGTTCGTGGGGGGGGGGGGGCGGTAGACTTCTTTCAGGTGGGGGGGGGGAGGGGGGCGGACACTGTTAAAAGTAAATATTTTTCTATATAAATTTCATTTCGTTCGGGGAGGCGGTAGACTTCCTTCAGGTGGTGGGGGGGGGGGGGAGAGTGGCGGACACTGTTAAAAGTATATATTTTTCAATATAAATTTCATTTCGTTCGGGGAGGTGGTAGACTTTCTTCGGGGGGGGGGGGGGGGGGGGGTTCTCCCCCCCCCCCCCCCCCGAAGAGATGCCTGGAAGAAACTCTGAGCCATGTGCTGGTAATATTGACAACAACAAAAAACAAAAGCCTGTGTTCTCACTTTCATCGTGAGTTTATTGATAGGTTTACGTTCTATTACATAATTATTATAAGACATATGTTTGAGTTTTCATCCTTAGCGCACATGATTTTATTTTAGTCATATCAGAATTTTATAGCTTTAGTAATGTTGTTACAGTTATACCTAACTAATTTTTTTTTCTTTTTAATGAATTTTTAAAATGTGTTCTTTTTACTTTCTCGTATATACGAAGTATAGAGAAAGTATTGTAATCGTGCACAAAAATCACTTGAAATTTTAACAATTTTCACCGTATTACACCTCAGTCCTTCATCACATCCGAAGTATAGAGGACTTATTTTAATCGGGCAAAAATTATCAATCCAGATTTATCAAAATTAAGAGGTTTTATGCGTAATCCAGTCTGAAAAACTGGGCTTTGCAATTCTGTCCGTATGTCTGTGTGTCTGTGTGTGTGTCCGTGTGTAAACACGATTACTTGAGTACCGTTATAGCTAGGTTGATGAAATTTCATATATAAGTATTTTATCAAAATCGTAGATCCGTATCAACTTTTGAGCGATTTCCGATAACCGGAAGTGGTACTTTTCCTACTTTGAATTTTTCAAAAGCCTATAACTTGAGTACTATTTCAGATAGATAAATGAAATTTCACATGTAAGTAAAAGATCTAATTCTCTACCTTCTGTTAAATTTTGAGTAATTTCCGTTGACCGGAAGTAGTAATTTACGCTACTTCCGATTTCTCAAAAAACTAATGTAAATTTTTAAAGTACTAATAATATTGCGCGCTATTGTACACTTTTTTATTTGGCGTTCACTAGTTCACTTGGCGTGCAATTATTTTGTCTACGAGATTTTAATCTAATTTTAAAACTTTAAGTATTTAAAATGGATTAAAAATCATGTCAATAGCCCGAGTTCCCATCCCCTGTTGTTTTATATAAGAATATTCGAGAAAGTTTAGGGGAGATCACTCCCGGTTTATTTATATTGGCGCTTATTTAAGGGGAGATACGATGTTGTTAAATCCATGCATACATCAGCAGTAGTGTACGTTTAATAAAGTCGTGCTACTGGGGTGAGATAAAGTAGGGCCAATCTTCATGATACGTCAGTAGTGAGGGGTGGTTAGCCCTGCTCAAGGACAGGTGAAAGACAAGGATATATGGGGGTACGTTTGAAAGGTTATGGTGGTATACAGTGTTGGAGGAGAGAAAGTGGGGTTAAGTTCAAGGTGTGGAGAGATGTCTACACACCTGGCTAGTGGGAGCATTATATAATCCGTATATATATATATATATATATATATATATATATATATATATATATATATATATATATATATATATATATATATATATATATATATATATATATATATATATATATATATATATAAAATGTATAAGCTAAAATGTTGTAATAAATATTAAATACGTAGCCTATAAAAATTGAGGATATTTTAAAGAAGGAAAGAATCATAATTCATTATTATTTATGAAATACACGACAAGTTAATTACATAATTCGTCTATATTTAATTAAATTACTTCTTATCCAAGCACAATTATTATAATCGTGACTGACCGAGTGACCTCAACGGCGAAAATATTTTTTTTAAATTGTGAGAACTGGTTAGGAAAAAAAATGAACATTAAAATCATGAAATACAAAGAAAATGCTGGAACTTGGTGTGATGAAGCCATTCAATAAACATTGAGGAAACATTCAAGAAATTTTGTATGTGGAACCCTTCAAGAAATGTGTGGTGGTTCCTGTGTTGCATGCTACTGACGGTGTCGTCCATTAATGCAGGATCTAAAATGGGATATTTTTTATTATGTATGCGAAGTCGCTTTCAAAAGGCCTACATTAGTTCTGACCTCAACTGGGTCACCGGTACAAAGTCCAACAACCCATTCAATTCCCTCCCTCCCTCCGTCCCTCCCTTTCACCCCACCCCTTATCCTAATAACCGTTCTTGATTTTATTGAACGAGCCGACCCGCTGCGTATCATACGCCGCTATTTAGTTGTTTTTTTTTCTACTTTTCAGTAATTTATAATTTGTGAATTCGACAGTACCAATCCTGCCATTGAAAATATTTGCTTAAAAACACTAACCCCCCCCCCCCCACGTGAAAGCAGCCTCCTCTTAGTTACCTCCTCTAAGTTTAAAATCGTTTCAAACTAAATTATCTGCCCCTAATAGCCGTCACCAAACCCGTCTCTATGATTGTAAAATGTAAACAGAGTGAACACCGCTCACCAGATCATGTGAAGGTGGGGTGGGGGTGATAGTGATAGCGATAGAGAGGAAGAGAGGGGACTGCAAAGACGCGCTTGCAGCTTGTTTTCTAACTGATACCAGAAGAGAATTATATATATAGATACAAAAGATACGAATATAGAACATTTCTTGAGATTAAATCCGGATTTACTTATTATTATTTTTAACTTTTTAATGTTAATTTTTTTTTTACATTTTAGAAGTTTCACATTGCAATCTTTTTACTTTCTCGTATATACGAAGTATAGAGAAAGTATTGTAATCGTGCACAAAAATCACTTGAAATTTTAACAGCTTTCACCGTATTACAACTCAGTCCTTCATCACATCCGAAGTATAGAGGACTTATTTTAATCGGGCAAAAATTATCAATCCAGATTTATCAAAATTAAGAGGTTTTATGCTTAATCCAGTCTGAAAAACTGGGCTTTGCAATTCTGTCCGTATGTCTGTGTGTCTGTGTGTGTGTCTGTGTGTAAACACGATTACTTGAGTACCGTTTCAGCTAGGTTGATGAAATTTCATATATAAGTTTTTTATCAAAATCGTAGATCCGTATCAACTTTTGAGCGATTTCCGATAACCGGAAGTGGTACTTTTTCTACTTTGAATTTTGCAAAAGCCTATAACTTGAGTACTATTTTAGATAGATAAATGAAATTTCACATGTAAGTAAAAGATCTAATTTTCTACCTTCTGTTAAATTTTGAGTAATTTCCGTTGATCGAAAGTAGTAATTTACGCTACTTCCGATTTCTCAAAAAAACTAATGTAAATTTTTAAAGTACTAATAATATTGCGCACTATTATGCACTTTTTATTTGGCGTTCACTTGGTGTGCACTTCTTTTGTCTACGAGATTTTATTCTATTTTAAAAACTTTAAGTATTTAAAATTGATTAAAAATCATGTCTATAGCCCGAGTTCCCACCCCCTGTTGTTTTATATAAGAATATTCGAGAAAGTTTAGGGGAGATCACTCCCGGTTTATTTATTTATTTTTTTGTGATTTGTGAATATGCGAAAAGTTTTTTCCCTTGAAAAATATTATAAGTGAGAATTATTTTCCACATCTTATTTTCAATTGTTCTAAATTATGTTGAAATTACAAAAGCTACGACTAAAAAATAAATGCATTTAAATTCGCCCAGCAGCTTATGATCTCTAAAATTTAGTTATATGCCCATATTTAGTTCGTGGTCGACGATAGAACACAAAATCAGCCAACCGTGAAACTATTCACTCTATACGACCCTCTGATCAAGCGATCGAAAGTATTTTTTGTTTTTCTTTTTTTATCTTCCCTTTTATTATTGAATATAGAAAGGCTTTTATTTGTCCGACTAACTTAATTTTTAAAAATTAGATATTCTTGTATTGTCATCCTAGATCTAACACTATGCCAAATTTCAGCTCAATCTGACAATGTGAAGTGGGTTAAATTAATGTTCCAAGATTAGCGAAACCTCTGACAAACATTACTGAGTAAGTTAAATAAAATCCTTTAATCAAAAATAACACACACAGGCACGCACACACGCACGCACACACACTTCTACCTTTACAGCAATACTTTCACAAAGGATATCGCCCCCAGTAGAAGGGGTGGGATGATGAAGCGATCCAGCCAAAAGATCAGTAACACTTTTTGAACAAAAATATCATCAACACTTTTCAAACCAAAACCTAATAGTACTTATCAAACGCAAAGATCAATAGCACTTATCCAACTATCATTAGCCAGTCAACATAATCAGCTAATCAGCTGCACCAGAGGCGTAGCGACCCTTCCCGGCGCCCGGGGACACACTTTCAATTTGACGCCCCCCTCGGGAACAACCTTTCAATTTTCAATTTGCATCCCCCCTCAAACAAACTTTCAATTTGCACCCCCTTCCAGACTTTCACTTTGTTTTTCCAACCCATTTTGGCACCCCCTAAGGTCGGCGCCCGGGGACATATGTACCCCCCCCTCCCGTCGCTACGCCTCTGAGCTGCATTGGCCACGATGCGCAGAGTGTGACCAATTACAGTACATTTTGACCACAGCAGTAAATTTGATTAGTTTGATAGGCGCTCGCAGATGATCAGTAATGTCATTAGCATGAGACACCAAGACATAATAGATCAGCTAGACAGAACGTGAAGCAACGCGACAAAACACGATGAAACATCTCACTCTGGCTTTGCTTTGCTTTTTGATGGTGATAGCTACTGCGTTCTTCCTTGATACAAATGGTGAGACGCTATATTTTAACATATACGTTTTTAAATTTGTTTTTAAAAACAATACAATATTAAGGTTTTAAGATATTTTTAACTCTCATTTCTCTAGGGGTTTCACCTTTCATTGAACCCGATTATCACTATGTCTTAAGGTACGTGTTTATCTCCTAGTTATTTCTGTTCGTCTTCTTTGTCATATCTAATTTGAAGTCACGCTCAGCTTTCCTGTCTATTTGTCTCATTGCTTTTTCCAAATCAAGTCTTTCTATATGAAAAAAATGTGCTTTAACCATGTATACGTATTTACCTTTTGAAATAAAACCTGGTTTAATATTCTTCCAAATATACATAAATTATTTAGTAAAAATTTCTTACAAATTACTTGTTCAAATTTATAAAAACAACTCTTTTTACTCATAAATTTTGTTAATGTTTGATAATTTAGGACCATGTTAAGAGTTAAAGTAAGATTGATTAGCTAGGAATATTAATTTAGCTTCGTTAGTATGGGAAATATTTTTATTTTCAAAGATTCATTTTGTGTTGTTTAACTTGCTCGTTGTGTTGAACGTTGAATAGGTGCAGGTATAAAAACCAGCAATGCGGTGTTTTCTTGTTCACGTATAGAGGAGAGTGCTGTAAAGGCTTCGTTTGCAGGCAATATTTGTTTATATTTTATTTAAATCTTTAATTTGTATAGTAGGCTAAAGTATGCCTTTAGCCCCACTATATATATATATATATATATATATATATATATATATATATATATATATATATATATATAATATAAAGCTCAATTCTGTATGTAAAAAATATGTTTGTCGTTGACATACTTAGATGGATTAAAGTGTTAGATAATTACAGTCCTTATGGTCTAAATTTATGAGTTAAAAAATTAATATTGAAAGTTTTGGGAAATAATTTTCATTTATCAAACTGAAAGTAATAATTTTCGGCATGTTCATTAAACACAAATTTTAAAAAAAAAATCATCTTTTACAAAAATTCTAATTATGTCTCTATTTAGTCCTATAGCACTTACTTCCCTTTGATAAATTAGGAAAACACAATTACTTCCCTTTATAAAACCATTGCATTAGTGGAAAAGAATTTACTTTTTATTACTTTGTTTTGGTGTTGGGAAAAAAAATAATTACATAATTAGCGGGGATTGATCAAGTGCAAATGTTGTAGGTATTTTACGGATAAGCTTGGAGTATTATAATTGTTCATTAAATTGAAACAGGCGCGTTCGTTTAAGTGAGTGCAAAAGACATTGAATAAGTTGGGGTACTATAGTCGTTCATTAAGCTAAAACAGGTGATTCCGCCCCGGGCGTTTATGTTCGCGTTAGTGTTTTCTTTGTGTTTAGGTGGGTTTGCGTTAGTGGTTGCGTTTTGATTTGGTTCGTTTTTGTTCTTTCTTTTTTCGTTTTTTGTTTGTGTTTTTTTCTTTGGGTTTGTATTTGTGTTTTTGGTTGGTTTTGCGTTTGGATTTGGTTTGTTTTCGTTTGCTTTTTCGTTGTTTTTTTGTGTTGGTATTGGTGTTTGTGTTTGTGGTTGGGTTTGTTGTTAGGTTTTTGTTTTCGTTTGTATTTGTAATTGTGTTAGCGTTATGTTTGCGTTTTGTTGTTTTGGTTTTGGTTGGTTGTGGTTTGGGTGGGCAATGCCGGGTTTATGATGATTACTAAACACACAGGTGATGGTCTTTAACAGAAAGGTTTTTCACAGAAGCCAGAGCAGGGCCTGGCCGGGACGGCTAGTATATATATGAAGAGTTGATTTTCAAAATGCAATATATCCAAAATTTGGGTTTCGAGAAAATCGCACTTTTCTCCTACACGAAGCCATTGTACAATATGCTAAAACTGTTTGTCAATTTAGGTTCATAACCCTCATATACATAGGACTAGAATGGTTTTTGAAATGTACCTGCATAAAAAGATGCTTTTTTTTTGTCCCAAAATTTGCGTTTCGTTGCAAAATGAGGTATATCCAGCTTTTGTTAAGCTACAAAATAGAAATGAAATGAAAATTTTGCGCCGTGAAGATTAAAATTAAGTTTTCCTAATAGTAACTGAGTAGCTTTACAATATGGGCACGTTATCTCATTTTTTTCAAAAATGGCGCTTATCGCGTTTTGAAAATCAACTCTCCATATATATATATATATATATATATATATATATATATATATATATATATATATATATATATATATATATATATATATATATATATATATATATATATATATATATATATATATATATATATATATATATATATATATATATATATATATATATATATATATATATATATATATATATATATGAGATATATTGTTATTAAACATTGACATGCTAAACATAGATATATAATATGTAAAATGCATGTGTTTTTACAGTAAGATTAACTGGCATTGCATCGAAATGTAGTCTCAGGTAAGAATTAATGTTTAGCACAACAAATGTACACACACACATACACAGACACACACAGACACACACACACACACATATATATATATATATATATATATATATATATATATATATATATATATATATATATATATATATATATATATATATATATATATATACAATATCTTAATATCGGATATCTTAAGGAAGTTCTCCATCGTTTTCGGTAAAGGTTACAGAAAAAAAAAATCCCCGGAACTATACTGCAACCTTTTAAAAGAATAACTGGAGTTTGTAATCGGGCTTTTTAACCCCCCCCCCCCCCCCCCCACAATTTTTTTAAAGTTTAACTTTTTCTTTGTATTGAACAGTCAATTTCAACTTGACCGGTTGTTGTTTTTCTTTAAATTGTGTTCTTGACTATATTAAACACGGACGACATTTTAAAAACATAGAATATACACTGGTATACATAGTTGTGGGGAGAACTGACATGGTACTGTGATGGTACCGGTACACCACAATAACGGTGTCTGTTAACAGCGCATGTTAACCCCTTTTGTTCTCTCTATTAAAACTCTATCCACCTTAGAGCACTATCGCTCGACCATCATTTAGTAACTATTAAATGTTTTGAGCACTCTACCGGATTGTTGGCCTAGCCTAACACAAAATGCACGCAAACTAACATTTTATCGTTAGTATTTACAGTGGCGTAGCGAGATAGGGTGTCACCCGGTGCGGCACTTAATAGTGTCACCCCCCAGAGGCGTAGCGACCCTTCCCGGAGCCAAACTTTCACATTTTCGATTGCACCCCCCCCCCCCTCGAACTTTTTATTTGCACCCCCCTCGAGTTTTTCTCTATATATTTTGCTATTTTTTGCCTTGGTGTCACCCCCCTAAATGGTGTCACCCGGTGCGGTCCGCACCCCCCCCCCCCCCTCGCTACGCCTCTGAGTACTTAAGTCAACCAAACCTAGCGATTAACACTGTTCGTTGAGAGAATGGTTAGACCCCTACCCTTAGATACAGAACGTCACATGAGCCGTACAGTGGCATGAACTATGGATTTTAAGGTGGGGGGGGGTGTTATATTGTAAATGTCACACAAACACAGTTAGCGTTCTTTAAATCGTCTTGGAATTATATATTACTGCCTTTAGTACAATATCTATATATATAATTCTCTTCTTGGATACCCTAGAAAACACCAAGCTGTAAGCGCGCCTAGCCGCCCCCTCTCTTCCTCTCTAGGCATATCGCTACCACACCCACCCCCACATGGTCAGGTGAGCTGTGGTTCACGCTAAATGTTTACAATCGTAGAGCCGGGTTTAGTGACGGCTATTAGGGGCAGATAATTTAGTTTGAAACGATTTTACTTAGGGGAGGTAACTAAGAGGAGGCTGCTTTCACGGGGGGGGGGGGTGTAGAGTAGGGGTTGGGGAAAAGGAGGCTGGGGGGGGGCTATCGTCCTTAACGACCTACTGATAGTGTTTTAAAGCAAATATTTTCAGTGTAAGCATTGTTACTGTCAAATTCACAAATTATAAATTACTGATAAGTAGAAAATAAAACAACTAAATAGCGGCGTATGATACGCCGTGGGTCGGCTCGTATTTAATTAAAATAATAACTTATTTTGTTTTCAAAACGTGGTGTTTAACAAAGTCAACTTGTATGTGTTTCCTTTTCCTAAATATTGACCACCAGTTAGTCCACTGTGCGAAGGACCCTCATCTTTGTATAATATGTTGCAGAGTCGTAGCGACCTATTCCGGCGCCCGGGGCGGACTCAACTTTGCGCCCCCTCCCTCCTATTTCTATATATAGTTATTCCTGTCTGCGAAAAAGCGCCCCCCCCCCCCCCCCAACACAGTTGGAAAGTTTGTGGCACTTCTTACCAGTTACTAACCCGTAACATTTTCTATTTCGGTGCCACAAAATTAATATAAAAACAGTTAAATCAGTGTGTAAAGCCTTGTGTTCATTTATTTTCGTAACTTTGACAGTGTACAATTCTATACTTTAGCTTAAAATGAGCTTTTAAATTAATCTCTATCCCTTTTGGCGCCCCCTTAAGGTTGGCGCCCGGGGCGGCCGCCCCACCCGCCCTCCCCTAGCTACGCCTCTGATATGTTGTTTTGGTTTATCTCTGTCAAGCAGGGAGAAATATTCACATCTAATTCTAAATTGTCTGTCGGCTCAAAGATTAACAGCCGTCTGTTCAAGTTTAAGTTAGTCTAATCTGTGATTAATGGTTTTAATTTATAAAATACTAGTAAATAAAATCTTTACTGCCCCAAGAGAAACTAAAATATTGGATAGAATCCTTTGTTGATGATATTCATTGAGTTCATTTCTGTTGATTATGTTCATTAAATGAGTTCCTTCCTGTTGATAGGTTGGTTATTTCCACAAAGTAGATTGGCCATCTACACAGTATGTTGACCACCTCTATACAGAAGGCCAACTATTTGTACCCAGTTAGTTGGCCATATCCATACAGTAGGTTGGCCATTTCCACACAATAGATTGGCCATCTACACAGTAGGTTGACCACCTCCATGCAGAAGTTTGGCCATTTGTACCCAGTCAGTTGGCCATCTCCATACAGTAGGTTGGCCATATCCACCAAGTAGGTTAGCCATCCCCTCGAAGTTGGTTGGCTCTCTCCGTACAGTATGTTGACAACCTTCGTTCTGTAAGTCACTAAGTTGGCCATCTATTTACAATCTATTTAGTTAATTATCTCTGCCCATTAGGAAAAAAAGACCATTGGCAAGTCATGATGCCCAGTTCCTAAACTAGATCTGCTGAGGAGACGGAGACGCACTTAAAATTTCCGGGGAAATGAAAGGCGGGATTGTTGGTTGTTCATCCGCCCCCCCTTAGAGATGAACACACAACTGCACAAGTGGGTTTTTTTTAAATCGGAGAACAATCCTTCGCTTTTCCGCGTAGACGGCATAAATTGCCATAAATAATCGACTCCTTACATACAGTTCTAATCCACTAGATTAAATTATTGAATTCGTCGAAATCGATCCGGTAATTTGTCTGTATGTTTAATCAATTAGAACTTTTTATTACATCACAAACTGAATTCTTGAGAAACAGGTGTGAAAAATCGTGACAATACGGTCAGGATAAATTAAGAGGGCTTCGACATAAGAAACAGATTAGCTGAGTGTTTGTTAATTAATGGTTCTTTTGTCTGGGCCGTCTAATCCATTATGCACAGTATAAGCCCCTAGGACCTACGAAAATCTGAAACAGAACTATTGTAAAAATATGAATTTTTGTATAAAGGATGTTTCTACTTTAGAATTCTTGATATCCCCCCCCCCCCCCCAATCCCGCTAAAATGAACCAGTTCCGTCCTTCCTTATACGGAAACCGGCTCAGAAGGTTCACTTCCATTAGCCAGGCAGGCCTCAGTGTGGCAAACCCTACCATAAGACCAAGTTTCCCACACATCGGTCGCTACTTCCGTGGGCTCTCACCGGGCTTTCCTTCCCCACCCACCAGACGCGGGACGTCGTCCTACCGCCTGGTACCCGGCTTGATCGTGGGGGGCGTTCTGCCATTTTTTCTTGAGCCTAGCGCATACAGCAGCTCTACTCGGCCAGATCAAAAACCTCTAGCTGCTGTTGGCTACCACTAGCCATTCCACACCCACTAGGGGGGTCATGAGCTTGGTCCGACTAGTGGTACTCTTCCGAAGCCACGTGAAGGCCGCAGCTTAAAGTCAAAATATCTGGTTAGGGTCGAGAGCAAATCCCTCTTGGTTCCCGGCAGTCTTGCATCTCTTCTCCCCCACGCTAATGTGTAGGGGACTTGGGAGTCCGACGTACCAGGCTCTTCGGAAACCAACCAGTTCTATGGCTCAATAAAACCTGCATGAGCCATAGAACTGGTTGCTGACCTACTTACTAGCCCTATTGCAATATCAACAAGACATGATCTGGGGTACGGGTCACGGTCGCAGTTGCCAGTTTAGCCTACGAATACAAAAAGTGCCTTTGATCAACAAAGACCTTAAAGCGCCCCTGGTTAGTATAGCTTGTAGAGAGAAGTTCAAAGACAATGAACAGAAATAGAAATGTACAATGTAGCAATGTCTATTCTTATTCACTGATATGAGACACACGGGCCGAAACATTCTTTGCTGTTCATTCTTCATTCATAAAAAAAAAATCAAAACATTGAAATCAAAGCAACTCAGTCATATTGAACAAAAACTTGATTTTTGTTATAAAGATACACCATACTAGAAAACAAAGCAGTGATGAAGCGTATACAATGTGACATTTGTTACTGCTTTAGACTGTAATAAAATTATTCTGAACACATTATAATTTTCAGATACATCAATAAGAAAAAAATTTAGCTTACAAGCAATGTGAAATTATTATATGACCAGAACTGGACATAGACTCTGTTATCAGTAATGGAATGAAATGTGAAATGAAGATTCATTTTCAATTAATTAATGTAACGTAAACACATAATAACATAGTTATAGATTAGTCAAAGTTTTGAAACATTTAAAAATAAGTGAAACGAAAAAAAACAACTTGTGTTTAGTTTGGAGCAATATTTGTATGTTATTCATTATGCACAATTTTTAATTGTTGCAATATATATTGTTTTCTTCATAATTCATAAACATCAAGTAAACAATTCAAACATTTAATTTGAAATTACATATTTTAGTTCACATTTGCTCCCTCTTGAATAAAAAAAAAATCACAGCCAAATTTGCCTTAAAACAATTCTACTCAATACTAACACTTTTGATGGATAAGAACTTGTAACTTCATACATCCTGTCAATCAGATTCACATTTTATGGAAAATATAAACAAGTGGTTGTGGGACTTTATAAAAATAATATACCTTATGTATATATATTATGTATTTTGTGAGAATGTATTGACATGATACACAGTACACATACTGTCAGCTCTTCAGCATTTTTTCAGTGCAATGTGGGGATGCAAACGTATACACTTTTTACTCAATTGTATTGATAGATAAACATGATGTGTCTGACAGCAACTATTTATATTTTATGAAACATTGATGATATTTAGTTAATTTTTTTTCATACATATATGGTAATTAGATCATTATTTCCTTCTTTTTGTCTTGTACTATAGAATCTAATTGATAACTAAAACAGTAGGCAACTCTTTTTTGCATATTCATGCCAAAAATAAATTAACTTTGCTATCACCTTGCAACAGATGACACCAAAATTTTGTTTTTGTTTTTAATTGTTTTGGAAAAAAAAATTTAAAATAATTTTATTATTATATCAAAGACTTAACATTAGGCATTATTTTAGTTTACAATATTGAGTTAATTTTTTTATCAGCTTATTCAATTTGCGAGTTCAGAACTTATAATCTGGGAATAATGTTGTTCACCTAATGCAGTTGTATTTAAATTTAATTGCTTCTATTTGTAAATGTAAAGCTTTTAAAATAATTTAAGCAAAGAACAATAACAATGTTAAAAGGATAAGCAATTATAATTTATTTTTCAGGATTATTTCCCTTAAAGAGCAGTTTTTAAAAAAAAGCCATGTTTTATGATGTGTGAAATAAGCTAGGAATCTAGCACGCCCTAGAAGTCCGGAAAACAACGTAAATTATCATAAATAACATTAATTTGTAATAACTATTGCCCACAAAAACTGTCTTTCAGCTTCAGACGAAAAGTTGGTAGTAGTTTTTAAATTTTTTATTTTGCTGTTTTATTAAAAAGATAAGGCATTTTGGAAAAATGATATTTTATTATAAAGCTTTACATGGCACATAATAGATTTAATATTTAGATCTGATCTTTATAAAAATGAATATCAGTTTTACTTTTAGTTTGCTAAGTAATAACAATATAAGACTACTAAGACCATGATGTATTTTACACGAATGTTTTCTCTGCAATCATTTGAATTAAATGTTACTTTGGTTTAATAGTTCTGCAAATATTTTCATAATCCTGTTAGACTTAGTTTCAACACACATAGATCTATATCTAAATAAAACATTAATAATAAATAAAATAGTACATTCATATCCATTTACCTATCAGTATAAAAATTACAAACTGTTTAACACAATTTACAATTAACTGTTTACTTGAAAAGAAATAAAATTATTATCAGAAAGCAAGGTTTAGGCTACAGAAAAATATGCACACGAATACAGTAGAAATTTAAATACAGCATGAGACATAACAATAATCATAACATGGTGTGCATGTTTGGCTGTAGAGAACGTGGTAAATTATATGATTCCCATCTAAAATGTGAATGTTTTTTTAGCAGCACTGACAATAAAGTGTGTTTATCAGAAAATAGAAAACTTTAGAAATTTACAAAAACATCTTTGGAATAGTTTGTAATTTAAAACAATTTTTGTTTTTAAAGTTTGATTGTGTGATCTTAAAATTATTAATCAGAATGTTGATTTTTTTAACATTTTCTGTTGTTGAAAGCTTATTCATTTAAATTGACAGGCAAAAAAAGAACATGCTGCAAAAAAAATAAAAAATAAATACATTTGTTATAATAATATAATTGACACATTAAAATGTAAAAATTTATAATCATTCTTAAATTTAATTTGGAAACAAGTATAAGCTATTGACTTAAATATTTGCTTTACAGATACTCTAATAATCAACTGTAATTAGTTGTAGGCTGACGCAGAAAACCATTTATTGTACAATAAACATAGCAATGAATTACAGATAATTATTTCATGTAAATTGTTATCTTTCTGATCAATATTTATATGTATTGAAATATATAGTTAGTTGTAAAATAAACAGGCGCCAAATCCCTTTGTTTTGATGCTGAGATGAAAATATCTTCTCTTTGTCCGTAAGTTAATGTTAGTTAAAAACCATCATGAACACTTATACATTAAAAATTTACAATGGGTAGCTTCCATAAATCATGGTATGCTTTATAGTGGATAAAAAGTAAAGAAGAAGTTGAGGTTAGGGGTGGTGACTAAATGAAACTATTGTAGAGTTATGTACCTACCATTTTAAAAATATTATATTAAAGAATTTTGGCCTATTATATTTCTGATGCTGGGCAGGGAAGTAAGGGATTGCAGGAAATGTAAAACTTGACAGATAATAGATAATCTGGTCCTTAACTAAAAGGTGCAACAATATTTATGGAAGCCACTCTCTAAAGGGAATGTAACATAAAATGTTTTTTTGTTGCCCAAAACATTTTAATGGCACAGTTAAATAGTTAATTTTGATAATCTTTTTTTTATATCTTAAGTAAAAGAAAAATATTTGTATAAACTTAAGCTTTAAATGAAAGATTTGAGTGTCTAATTAAATCAATACTTATTTTGAATTTAATTCAATTAATTAAATATTCTAAAATGACATCTGCACTTTATTGTTCTAAAGTTAAATCTAACTAACAATATAGACACTTTGATGAACAAAATTTGGTTTCCTTTGAATTTGATGGATATGTGTATATCATATTAAATTGCTTGCAACAACCACATAATAATATTATAATACTCAAACAACAGCCTATACAAAGGTTATGTTGAGAGAGCTATTGTTTAGTATAAGAGATTGTTGTTGACTAAAAGAATAAAAATAAAGTATCAATACATTTGATATATTTGTTGGTTTCTACATGATGGAGCTATGATAGAACCACCAATACATTAGAAAACAGTAGTCTGAAACTGAATATTTACTATTTGTATAAAAAACATTTAATTTAAACAGAAAATAAACATTATCAATACATTTTTTACAGGTAATATGTGATCGCATTAGTTATGTGTTTTTACACATTAAAGAACAAGCAACATGCTAGTTTTGAATTTATGACAGAAGTTGACCAATAATTTTATTTACATGAATGTTAAGGTTAAAACCTGGGATGTCAAACTTATTTTACCAAGACTGTATTAATTTTCAATTTATCTGAAAAAAACCAGGTTTTACTTTGCAATATTTATGTTACCTTTGTATTTTTTAAATTTTAAAACTATTTTGATGAAAGTTATGTACGATTCAGTTAAGAGCATATAACATTACTTTGGTATAAAAAGTTTTTAGCTGTTAATGCAACAAATTTAATGTCATGTAATGATAAAATGAACACAAACAACGTTATTGAAATGTTTCAAATAATTCTTTAAAAAAAAGACAGTCTTTACAGAAATATATTTTGTAAAACAAAATAACCTTTTAAATGACATTTAAATATGACATAATTGTATACATAAGAAATATATTTTAAAAAAATCTTTTTCTGGATGTTATATAAATATATATTTAAACATAAATTCTTTAACACTGATACTTTTCAAAAGCACTTCAATTATTTTTTTTACCCTAACTTTTGAAACTTTCCTACAGAAGTATTTTTGGAATGTCACATAGAAAATAATTCACATTTGACAATTTGTTTTTCAGCAAACATGTAATACACAAGTAGGAACAAAACTAAAATGAAAATAATAAGGCACCCACAGCCTTGTTCTGAAATCAGATGTGTAGTGTACAAATCATTGATTTGAAATCTGATGTGTAGTGTACAAATCATTGATTTGAAATCAGATGTGTAGTGTACAAATCATTGATTTGAAATCAGATGTGTAATTTACAAATTACTGATAAAAAATCAGACCTTTGATGTACAAATTATGGCTCTGAAATTAGACCAGTAATGTACAAATCATGGATCTAAAATCAGACCAGTAATGTACAAATCATTGATCTAAAATCAGACAGTAATGGACAAATGACTCATCTGAAATCAGAGCCATAATCTACAAATGATTGATCTGGAATCACACCTGCGCCTCACATAAGTTAATGTACAAGTCACTGTCATAGGACACTGTGGCTGTGGACTCTTTCTCTTGGCTCGGTGGATCAAATAAGTCAATCCTGACATCATTTTTCTTGCTCTTTTTCCCCTCCAGTTTCCCATAGCCTCTCTCTCCACTCTCCTTACTGCTGGACTTTTCCGTGTTATTAGAAAAGGTGCTGTCAGAAGGTCCGTCGGTTATGGACTCGGAGTAGTCTGCCTTTGTGACACTCAGCTCCACCTGGTTGTTGGTGCCCGCTGCTCCTTTTTTGGTAAAATCTGTCGCTGAGCCGTTACTTTTGAGGCCATCTTTCTCTTCGGCGATTTTCGTGAGAACTGCCTGTTTGGGTTTATCCCGTTCTTTGTGCTGGACGAAGCACTGAAGCTGCACCCGCACTCCCCCGCCGTCTCCTTTACTGTTGGAACTGCTGCTGCTCTGCTTGCTGAGTTTGATGGGGGTGTGGCCATTGTTTACCACTTGGTTGTGCTTGCCGCTGGGGCAGCCCTCGGAGAAGTCAATGTCTAGCAGGGCTGCGACCTCAGTCATGTTGGCAGTGTACTGGCAGCTGCTGTGTTTTTGAAGGATTTCGTGGTTGGACGGGTGCCTCTCAAAAAAGGGCATGGCATAGAAAAGAACACCTCCAAGCAGCATGGTCACCCCGGAAAAGATGTAGCCAGCACTTTTGGACTCGTAAGTGTCATTGAGAAATGCTGTGAGAAAATTATTTTAAAATTGTGAAAGTCTTGTTTTCAACACAAAATTATTAAATATAAGAAGATTTATAGTATTGGTAGTAAAATAATATAGTAAGGCTGTTGTAGTGCTACACAAACTGGGCCATGTTGTTATAGATTATGTTTTTTTCTACTGGTCATCTGTTTTAAGCCTCAACATAGAAGTCTGGTCAAACCAATCAACTTTATCTTAAATCAAGTTAAGTGCCTGTCTGAGCTGGGTGGACAGTGTTGAGGCACCTATCTGAGCTGGATGCACACACTCTTAAAGTGGCTGAACTGGGGGACATAGAGACAAATGCCTATTTGGGCAGGGGGATACAGAGACTTTACACAGACTCAAGGCTGTGAACCACAGACTTAAGGGTTGGCAATAAAATGATCTACCAATTTGTTGTGCCATATGACATATTCATTGGTGTGGAGCTGTTTTTATGTTACATAGACACAAACAAAACCTATGGATCTTCTGGATGATCCACTATAGGGTAGTCTCATTATATGGTCATTGTTCTTTTCTATTATGTCCACTTGTTCATGTATTATTACTTTTTAACCCTTAGACTAGGTTTATACTTATACTATTTATGCAGCAGCTAATATTTTTAGTTTATTTTTTAATACACTGATGATTGTTAAGATAATTACCACTTTTAAAAACTTTTGAAATTACAGGAAAATATTGAGAATAAATTCTCCAAACTGTACTTAAAGGTGGGGGTCATGGGCACTTTTATAAATAACTTTTTAAACTGACAAGGAAATATCGAGAATAAATTCTGCAAATTGTACTTAAAGGTGGGGGGCGTGGCCATTTTTAAAAACAACTTTTTAAACTGACAAGGAAATATTGAGAATAAATTTTCCAAACTGTACCTGCAGCGGGGGCACCAAACAACATAGGGAAGCTGCTAGCAGCACATAGAAAACTCCAAGCTCGCTCCATCAACTTGATCTTCACCAGCTCATACACGTAGGTTTTTAAACTGGAATATATCAGGTGAAAAAACAGTGATTTGGATGAAGTAGTTATTCAGTTTTTAAAAAATGTAGTGTGTGAAGTGAGGGGGGGGGGGGAGGGGGGGGTTATGTTTTATCTGACCCATAGATGTAGTAGGGTCTCAGATGCAGTCAGAATATCTCTTTTGTGCTGATTCACTATCAGTGTCTCCTGCATTTCTGTCTGTCTGTTCTCTCATTTGAGTTTTTACTAACGAGCATTTTGGGTAGTTAGCCACACACATTTTTTTCAAAATATAATATAATATAATATCCAAAACATTATAGTTTTATACCGTTGTAACAAAATGTATAGATGATTTGCTCTATGCCCAGCCACCTTTACTTTCCCTAACCTGAGTTAGGTACCCATCAGAGCTGGGTGGACTCAGTGACACGCTACTGACTTGAACCCAAATTCAAACTTAGGACTTTTGGGTTAGCATTCTAGCGCTCTACCGCTAGGCCACTTTTCCCCCTTATCCATAGTTAATTATACACAATTCTATCTAAGTTCTCACCTATAATAATAGCTACCACAACATATGCCATAGGCCCATGCATACAAGGCAAATGAGGTTTCATCAGTTGCCAAAAGAAGCAGCAGAGTAAACAATCCACAGAGAATAGCTGAGGTCTGGCACAAGTGACGCCTAGGTCAAACAAAGATTCAGTAATTGGTTAACATCTAGGTGACAGAAACAGTATTGGTAATTTCAAAATAAATTTTCAGTGACGCCTAGGTCAAACAAAGATTCAGTAATTGGTTAACATCTAGGTGACAGGGTCAAACAAAGATTCAGTAATTGGTTAACATCAAGGTGACAGGGTCAAACAAAGATTCAGTAATTGATTAACATCTAGGTGACAGGGTCAAACAAAGATTCAGTAATTGGTTAACATCTAGGTGACAGGGTCAAACAAAGATTCAGTAATTGGTTAACATCTAGGTGACAGGGTCAAACAAAGATTCAGTAATTGGTTAACATCTAGGTGACAGGGTCAAACAAAGATTCAGTAATTGGTTAACATCTAGGTGACAGGGTCAAACAAAGATTCAGTAATTGGTTAACATCTAGGTGACAGGGTCAAACAAAGATTCAGTAATTGGTTAACATCTAGGTGACAGGGTCAAACAAAGATTCAGTAATTGGTTAACATCTAGGTGACAGGGTCAAACAAAGATTCAGTAATTGGTTAACATCTAGGTGACAGGGTCAAACAAAGATTCAGTAATTGGTTAACATCTAGGTGACAGGGTCAAACAAAGATTCAGTAATTGGTTAACATCTAGGTGACAGGGTCAAACAAAGATTCAGTAATTGGTTAACATCTAGGTGACAGGGTCAAACAAAGATTCAGTAATTGGTTAACATCTAGGTGACAGGGTCAAACAAAGATTCAGTAATTGGTTAACATCTAGGTGACAGGGTCAAACAAAGATTCAGTAATTGGTTAACATCTAGGTGACAGGGTCAAACAAAGATTCAGTAATTGGTTAACATCTAGGTGACAGGGTCAAACAAAGATTCAGTAATTGGTTAACATCTAGGTGACAGGGTCAAACAAAGATTCAGTAATTGGTTAACATCTAGGTGACAGGGTCAAACAAAGATTCAGTAATTGGTTAACATCTAGGTGACAGGGTCAAACAAAGATTCAGTAATTGGTTAACATCTAGGTGACAGGGTCAAACAAAGATTCAGTAATTGGTTAACATCTAGGTGACAGGGTCAAACAAAGATTCAGTAATTGGTTAACATCTAGGTGACAGGGTCAAACAAAGATTCAGTAATTGGTTAACATCTAGGTGACAGGGTCAAACAAAGATTCAGTAATTGGTTAACATCTAGGTGACAGGGTCAAACAAAGATTCAGTAATTGGTTAACATCTAGGTGACAGGGTCAAACAAAGATTCAGTAATTGGTTAACATCTAGGTGACAGGGTCAAACAAAGATTCAGTAATTGGTTAACATCTAGGTGACAGGGTCAAACAAAGATTCAGTAATTGATTAACATCTAGGTGACAGGGTCAAACAAAGATTCAGTAATTGGTTAACATCAAGGTGACAGGGTCAAACAAAGATTCAGTAATTGGTTAACATCTAGGTGACAGGGTCAAACAAAGATTCAGTAATTGGTTAACATCTAGGTGACAGGGTCAAACAAAGATTCAGTAATTGGTTAACATCTAGGTGACAGGGTCAAACAAAGATTCAGTAATTGGTTAACATCAAGGTGACAGAAACAGTATTGGTAATTTCAAAATAAATTTTCAGTGACGCCTAGGTCAAACAAAGATTCAGTAATTGGTTAACATCTAGGTGACAGAAACAGTATTGGTAATTTCAAAATAAATTTTCAGTGACGCCTAGGTCAAACAAAGATTCAGTAATTGGTTAACATCTAGGTGACAGGGTCAAACAAAGATTCAGTAATTGGTTAACATCTAGGTGACAGAAACAGTATTGGTAATTTCAAAATAAATTTTCAGTGACGCCTAGGTCAAACAAAGATTCAGTAATTGGTTAACATCAAGGTGACAGAAACAGTATTGGTAATTTCAAAATAAATTTTCAGTGACGCCTAGGTCAAACAAAGATTCAGTAATTGGTTAACATCAAGGTGACAGAAACAGTATTGGTAATTTCAAAATAAATTTTCAGTGACGCCTAGGTCAAACAAAGATTCAGTAATTGGTTAACATCTAGGTGACAGAAACAGTATTGGTAATTTCAAAATAAATTTTCAGTGACGCCTAGGTCAAACAAAGATTCAGTAATTGGTTAACATCTAGGTGACAGAAACAGTATTGGTAATTTCAAAATAAATTTTCAGTGACGCCTAGGTCAAACAAAGATTCAGTAATTGGTTAACATCTAGGTGACAGAAACAGTATTGGTAATTTCAAAATAAATTTTCAGTGACGCCTAGGTCAAACAAAGATTCAGTAATTGGTTAACATCTAGGTGACAGGGTCAAACAAAGATTCAGTAATTGGTTAACATCAAGGTGACAGAAACAGTATTGGTAATTTCAAAATAAATTTTCAGTGACGCCTAGGTCAAACAAAGATTCAGTAATTGGTTAACATCTAGGTGACAGAAACAGTATTGGTAATTTCAAAATAAATTTTCAGTGACGCCTAGGTCAAACAAAGATTCAGTAATTGGTTAACATCTAGGTGACAGGGTCAAACAAAGATTCAGTAATTGGTTAACATCTAGGTGACAGGGTCAAACAAAGATTCAGTAATTGGTTAACATCTAGGTGACAGGGTCAAACAAAGATTCAGTAATTGGTTAACATCTAGGTGACAGGGTCAAACAAAGATTCAGTAATTGGTTAACATCTAGGTGACAGGGTCAAACAAAGATTCAGTAATTGGTTAACATCTAGGTGACAGGGTCAAACAAAGATTCAGTAATTGGTTAACATCTAGGTGACAGGGTCAAACAAAGATTCAGTAATTGGTTAACATCTAGGTGACAGGGTCAAACAAAGATTCAGTAATTGGTTAACATCTAGGTGACAGGGTCAAACAAAGATTCAGTAATTGGTTAACATCTAGGTGACAGGGTCAAACAAAGATTCAGTAATTGGTTAACATCTAGGTGACAGGGTCAAACAAAGATTCAGTAATTGGTTAACATCTAGGTGACAGGGTCAAACAAAGATTCAGTAATTGGTTAACATCTAGGTGACAGGGTCAAACAAAGATTCAGTAATTGGTTAACATCTAGGTGACAGGGTCAAACAAAGATTCAGTAATTGGTTAACATCTAGGTGACAGGGTCAAACAAAGATTCAGTAATTGGTTAACATCTAGGTGACAGGGTCAAACAAAGATTCAGTAATTGGTTAACATCTAGGTGACAGGGTCAAACAAAGATTCAGTAATTGGTTAACATCTAGGTGACAGGGTCAAACAAAGATTCAGTAATTGGTTAACATCTAGGTGACAGGGTCAAACAAAGATTCAGTAATTGGTTAACATCTAGGTGACAGGGTCAAACAAAGATTCAGTAATTGGTTAACATCTAGGTGACAGGGTCAAACAAAGATTCAGTAATTGGTTAACATCTAGGTGACAGGGTCAAACAAAGATTCAGTAATTGGTTAACATCTAGGTGACAGGGTCAAACAAAGATTCAGTAATTGGTTAACATCTAGGTGACAGGGTCAAACAAAGATTCAGTAATTGGTTAACATCTAGGTGACAGGGTCAAACAAAGATTCAGTAATTGGTTAACATCTAGGTGACAGGGTCAAACAAAGATTCAGTAATTGGTTAACATCAAGGTGACAGGGTCAAACAAAGATTCAGTAATTGGTTAACATCTAGGTGACAGGGTCAAACAAAGATTCAGTAATTGGTTAACATCTAGGTGACAGGGTCAAACAAAGATTCAGTAATTGGTTAACATCTAGGTGACAGGGTCAAACAAAGATTCAGTAATTGGTTAACATCTAGGTGACAGGGTCAAACAAAGATTCAGTAATTGGTTAACATCTAGGTGACAGGGTCAAACAAAGATTCAGTAATTGGTTAACATCTAGGTGACAGGGTCAAACAAAGATTCAGTAATTGGTTAACATCTAGGTGACAGGGTCAAACAAAGATTCAGTAATTGGTTAACATCTAGGTGACAGGGTCAAACAAAGATTCAGTAATTGGTTAACATCTAGGTGACAGAAACAGCATTGGTAATTTCAAAATAAATTTTCAGTGACGCCTAGGTCAAACAAAGATTCAGTAATTGGTTAACATCTAGGTGACAGAAACAGTATTGGTAATTTCAAAATAAATTTTCAGTGACGCCTAGGTCAAACAAAGATTCAGTAATTGGTTAACATCTAGGTGACAGAAACAGCATTGGTAATTTCAAAATAAAATTTTTAATGTAATGTTTATTTTGGTGAAAGTACTGCTTATTTTGTATTCACTTAAAACATACTATGATATTTAATTCTAATTATGTTGCAGCATAATTATCAATGGGGGGGGGGGGGGGGGAGTTGTGCTTTAGATCTTATGCTACATTCTTTCAATTCTTTGTTGTTTGTGTCAATCATTGAAAAACATTGCAATTAGTTGGTCATAGGATTAACAAGTTAATTTGTAACCCAAATAAGAGGCCACTTTTCAGCCTTAGGTCTGTAAAGCTCATGTAAATTTGGAAGGATTGAAAGAATCAAGCCAGTAACTAAGAAAGTGGGCATTCACAAAGAAAACCCACTAAATTAATATTAGCTGAGGTACTTGTTTGGTGAAAACAAAAAGGGGAATGTGTATTAATTATAGAAAAAAATCCCCAGATGATACAAATAATTTTTATAGTATATAGGAAACAATTAAGGAATCTTCATATGCTTGTTATTTCATGCATTTAAAATAATTATCTTAGTTTTATAGTTTTCATTATTTAAAAAAAGCATGTATCTTTATAATGACAAGCAGATATAGCGAAGAGCTAAAACTCATGAGCAGATATCAATCTTGAGACTCAATTTTTTTTTTGAAAAATACTTTAAAATGGGAAAATGTGTAGGCAGAAAAATGTTATGAAACCTGTGAAAACCATTGGAGGTGTCAAGAGCAGAAGCCAAATCTGGACAAAAACATCTGATGACTTCAATGCTAAATGTTATTTTTTTTCCCACTTGTTTTGTTAATATTATCATATGATCTCAGCTGAGTTTGTTTTTAGACATCTTTTTTTAGAAAATATTATAAAACTGTTTCTATTTTCCATAGATTAACTCTTTCAACGGAAGGTATGAAACAGGAAGTGAAAACCGGCCATTTTTGAGCTAAGTTGAGCTAAATATCTCCTCCAAAAACAATCTTATTTTATCATAAGGTATATGTAAAGTTGGAAAAGCAACTATTCAACAAACACTCACATTTTAACTTAAGTTTTTATGGAATGGACGATTTTTTAAAAATTAAGTCTTGGGTCTCTTTTAAAATATTTTTATCAAAATTATTTTATCACAAATAAACAGCATAGCTACAAAATTTATTTTATTAAAAAAAGTTTTTGACTCAGCAACAATAAAAAAAATTAAATTGAACATTTGCAAATTAAAAAAAACTTCTAACCTTGATATGTAGCACTCATTACTATTCCTGATGGTGATGTATCCTAGACCTATGCAGCCAACAACAAAGCCCATGCCGACATAGACATTGAGCAGGAACAATCTGTCCTTGTTCTGGTGATGTGACTCAGCAGTCTTTGGCTGGAAAATAAATAAATGAAATAAAATTTTATGAAGTTTTGGAGATAAATTTTTACTGAAGTTTATTTCTTATGGTAAAAATCATGGTTTACAACTGCATAAAATAGACCATTTGCTGATATGCTTATTAAAAGTAAAGTTTTGAGGATTTAACTGAAAATTAGGCATTGACTTTATTTTCGTTATTGGTTTTTAAAAAATGATATTTAATATTTTAAAGATGTGTTATACAAATCTTGCATTTTTTTTAAGAAAATGTAATTCATGTTTTTTTTTCTTTTTATAATTGAATGATGTAGTTATGTACAAGAGAGCTTTAATTAATGCAAAAAAAAAAAAGTAATTCATAGTGGAGCATATATTTTTTAGGCAAGAACACTGAACAAGCAAAACATATTTGTTTAGCAGGAAAAACAATTTGGAAAAAATTATGAATGGAAGATGATATAAATATTTACCAGTAGAAAAAAAAATGTTACTCAGAAAATAGATTTACTAGTAGAGCTAAAATTGTGTATGTATTGTAAACAAGTTTTACCAGTAGAACTAATTTTAAAAATTACCAGTAGTAGTAGAACTAATTTCAGTTAACAGAAAAAAAAACCTCACCAGTAGAACACATTTTAGACTTATTTACCAGAGGAAAAAAATACCAGTGGATCTTATTTTATCTTATCAAAGAAAAAACTTACCAGCAGAACTAATTACATCTTACCCAAGAAAAAACTTACCAGTAGAATTAATTACATCTTACCCTGAGAAAAAACTTACCAGTAGAACTAATTACATCTTACCCAAGGAAAAAACTTACCAGTAGAACTAATTACATCTTACCCAAGAAAAAACTTACCAGCAGAACTAATTACATCTTACCCTAGAAAAAACTTACCAGCAGAACTAATTACATCATACCCAAGAAAAAAACTTACCAGTAGAACTAATTACATCTTACTAAAGAAAAAACTTACCAGTAGAACTAATTACATCTTACCAAAGAAAAAACTTACCAGTAGAACGAATGGAACATGGATCCCCATCCCAATAACAGTAGATATGACGATAAGGGCCCTAAGGGAGCTCATCCTAAGGGCGCTGAAGTCGAGGTAGGGAGGCTTCTCAGCTTCTCTGTCCCGTCTGTTCTTCTTCTGGCTCTTCAGGTGGAGGATAACTTTCCTCCTGGGGTGGTACAGGTTGGCCGAGCGGTAGAGGGCGCCAGCGATGATGGTCAGCACCAGGAGACCCGCCACACACTGCAGACCATGCATCCACTCGATCGCCCTGCAAGAGAACAGTATAATAGTTTGGGACTTTTTCATAATTTGTATGGTAAAAGTAAAGTTTAAATAAAACATTATCAAGAGTTTTTTTAACCACATTGATGAATGCTAAGTAAGCCAAATGTCCATTCGAGCCCAAAAGGTTCATCTGGACAGGTGAAGTAGAGTTCACCTGTTTCATTGACCTCGGCTAACGAAAGTATAGCATTAAAGGAATTCATGAAATTTAATTAATATTTTCCACCAGCTTACTTAAAAAAAATGCCACATACATTTTACGGACTTCAGGGGGCGGGGTAACATGGGGGGGGGGGGGGGTAGCAATTGTGAAATCGCACATAGGTACAAGTAAAAAGTAACGTTACAGCAAGCGTGTCGGTCTTTTTGTGAGGATGTGTAAAAGTGGGAGGGGAAGTAAAATCGTCAAAAAAAACGTGAGGTCACATGTGACTCCTTACTATTCCGGTACGATATCCCGTTAACTAAAATAAAAATTATGTCAACTTTTTCTTCTTCAAATTTTTTTTTTTTGGATTGTAGATTAAACGACAAACAGCTGAGCTGGTGGAAAAAACTTTTGAGGGAGCGTCGCATATTTGAAATATTTTAAACGAATTCGTTCCATTAAAAAAAAAGTCCTCCAAAGTTTCGACTTCCGCTTAAGAGTTTACTCAACTCTACATTTGTTTTAATTTTGAATAGAATTATTGAAACGGAAGCTACAAGCAGAGTTTCTTTCAAGCATTTCTTGAGGGGGGGGGGGGGGGGGGGGAGGCACACAAGCCATGTGAGTTATGGTCACATCAAAATTAGGCCACCCGGTAGAACCTCATTATCAGAAATCCTGAACATAGCTAACATTAAACTCAACCATTACACTAACCCCAACGTAACATTGTAGGCCTATGTTAAAAAAAAAAACTCTAATAGGCTTACTAACCAGATTAACACATAACGCATTGTGTCTCAAGTGTATCTTCTAGATGTCAAATGTAAGTGAGGGTTAACCTTAATGGGGGGGGGGGGGGTCAGTGTTTCTTCCAGGCATCTCTTCCCCCCCCCCCCCAAGATAGCCTAACGCCCCCCCCCCCCCCCCACCCCTGAATGAAATGGAATTTATATAGAAAATATATACTTTTAACAGTGTCCGCCTCCCCCCTCCCCCAAGATAGCCTAACGCCCCCCCCCCCCCCTGAATGAAATGGAAATTTATATAGAAAATATATACTTTTAACAGTGTCCGCCTCCCCCCTCCCCCAAGATAGCCTAACGCCCCCCCCCCTGAATGAAATGGAATTTATATAGAAAATATATACTTTTAACAGTGTCCGCCTCCCCACTCCCCCAAGATAGCCTAACGCCCCCCCCCCTGAATGAAATGGAATTTATATAGAAAATATATACTTTTAACAGTGTCCGCCTCCCCCTCCCCCAAGATAGCCTAACGCCCCCCCCCCCCCCCCTGAATGAAATGGAATTTATATAGAAAATATATACTTTTAACAGTGTCCGCCTCCCCCCTCCCCCAAGATAGCCTAACGCCCCCCCCCCCCTGAATGAAATGGAATTTATATAGAAAATATATACTTTTAACAGTGTCCGCCTCCCCCCTCCCCCAAGATAGCCTAACGCCCCCCCCCCCCTGAATGAAATGGAATTTATATAGAAAATATATACTTTTAACAGTGTCCGCCTCCCCCCTCCCCCAAGATAGCCTAACGCCCCCCCCCCCCTGAATGAAATGGAATTTATATAGAAAATATATACTTTTAACAGTGTCCGCCTCCCCCCTCCCCCAAGATAGCCTAACGCCCCCCCCCCCCTGAATGAAATGGAATTTATATAGAAAATATATACTTTTAACAGTGTCCGCCTCCCCCCTCCCTTGAGAAAAAAGTCTGGAAGAAACGCAAAGGGGGGGGGGTGACCTCGCACACTGTGATATAATAACTAAACAGGGGGTATTGTATTTAATTTTAGATATACGCGCCATTACTTTAAAATGTCAATCAACCTAAATCGTTCACACCACTGTTTTAAATAAAAATAAAATGTACACAAATATTGATTGTTACCCAATATAACAGTTTCTATTTTAGTCTAACCTTTTATTTAATTACTCGCTAGAGCAGCGAGGTGGGCCTAGGATTTATCAACAGTTGGGGTTATGGGGGGGGGGGGGGGGTCGTCCATAAATGACGTCACACTCGTAGGGGGAGGGGGTCCGTTATATTTTGAATGTGTGATGAGGGGGAGGGGGGAGGAGTTCACACTTTTGCAGTATAAAAGAAAAACAATGCTAGAAAACGAATTTTCAGTTGTTATTTCACATTTTAGCATTTTAGAAAACTGTTTTAATAAATTGTAATAGAAAGTGTTTAAGATACTCTATGTTGACAGTTCAGACAAGATTTTGGAAAAAAATATCAATGTTTTAAGAAAAATTTAACTGCAGTTTTGAAAGGAGGGGAGGGGGGTTGTATGCTGAGGTGTGACGTCATTTTAGGGGGGGGGGTCTGACTTTTTAGGACGACGTATGACGGAGGGGAGGTAAAAATTGTCATAAACACATGGGCCTCCCCGCACGTGTATCTTCTGCTAATACCTATTGCAAAGATGAAGATGCTAAGGTAAAAGATAGGGTAAACGTAAGACTCTTAGATCGATGTTCCAAACTTAGTACGATGACAGTTTTCATCTATTTTTGCGCTAGATTTATTTCAAGACAAACTAATTTTATTTCAATAAAAATTATTAATCGCCTAATTGACATGTCAGCCATTCTCTTCTAATGTTATCTTTAACTGATGTTTACACTTTTATATGTTTGTTTGGTCTTTCCCTCCCCATCCGGCTGTAAATTGTGTTGATTGTTGTGAGCTACTTTTAACATAATAATTAATTTACAACCTTAAAGTTCGCGACTAAAAATATCTTTTTGTTAAAAAAAAAATGATTCCCAAGTTCTCCTTGGTGGTTTTTCTATTCTGCAGCCCCCACCCCTTCCCTTTTGCTTTTACATTCAACAAATCTTTATTATACACACCCGTCCTCTCCCCTTTCCCCCCTTCATCAATCTGGGAACAACAACAGTGATCTCCCTTGGCCACGTTTATTTCAGCCGGTTTGCCATAGATAGCACGACATGGGAGCTGGTACGAGCTAAATATGGCAACAAATTGACGTCACGCTCAAGGCCCGGGTCAACGTTTCCCCGGCAACGTGACGCTAAGCGACCGATTTATACAGCTCTTATTGCCGGAGACTTTGAAGGTCTATTAAAACATGGGCTACGAGTCGACTTTAAAGATATTTTTTCGTCTCTTTTTTTCTCCCTTTTTTTATTACACTAAAAAAAAATCTCGCGCGCATAGTCTTAAATTAGCAACAAAACATCAACACAACAGACAGGAGAGGCAATATTTTTAGCAAAGATTTAAAAAAAAATATTATTGAAATTATGGTTGTCCAATTGTTTATGTCTCCATTTATTTTTTGTTATGCTTACGAATTATTTTTTTTACAAAGTAGTTTAAGTAGAAACTGGTTAGTGTAAGTATCGCTTACTTTATTACTTGATAAGTTTATCAATAAATAACGCTCATCAGGGGCGTAGCGAGGGGGGGGGGCGTGGGCTGCGGACCGCACCGGGTGACACCATTTAGGGGGGTGACACCAAGGCAAAAAATAGTAAATTATATAGAGAAAAACTTGAGGGGGGGGGTGCAAATCGAAAGTTTGAGGGGGGGGGGGTTGCAAATCGAAGTTTGAGGGGGGGGGGGTGCAAATCGAAAATTTGAAAGTTTGTCCCCGGGAAGGGTCGCTACGCCTCTGGGGGGTGACACCATTAAGTGCCGCACCGGGTGACACCCGACCTCGCTACGCCACTGACACTCATGTAGATAAGGGGGGGGGGTTAAGCAGTTCTGAATTTTGTGACAATAGATAGGGAGGGGGGGATTTTGTGACAGCAACACAGTTTATATATTTTTAAAATCAAAGATGATGCAAAATCCGTTAATTTTAGATATAATTATAATGGTGATTAGTGATTATGATGATAAGGGGTTGGCTTAATTGTGGCGGCCATTTTTTAAGTTAGCTGGGGGGGGGGGGGGGGGTTGGTGGTCTGGCTGACTACACGATCCATTCATGTGCCGAAGTAGAGGAAACAGACTAACCCTACTCTCTATATCGTCTGCTCAATGGTCGGTTAGTATGAAATTGGACTTGGGTTTGACACCCTTTTTTTTTCAAGTCGGATATTTTTATACGGCTAGTATCGCTATCCTAACCATAACCTTGATCTTAGTCCTGAACCGAAATGTGATTTTATACGGCTAGTATCGCTATCCTAACCATAACCTTGATCTTAGTCCTGAACCGAAATGTGACCAAAAAAAAAACCGCAAAATGTATATTGTCTTGCTGGTGTTTACAAGATCATTTTAAAACGAATAATTGATTATCATGTTAAGTATGACATAAAGCAACAATGATTTTATTGCAAGGAGTAGGGTTAGAACAAGTCATTAAGTTGATAGTTTTGTTTTGGTAAACTTCTGAAATTATTTTGGTTTAAATTATGAAACTTTTTTCTTTCTGTCTCTTTTGTTTTGGTTTTCTTCTGAAATTCTTTTGGTTAAATTATGAGTTTTTTCCTTTCTTTTTGTTTTGGTTAGTTCTGAATTATTTTGGTTAAATCTTAAAGATTTTTCTTTTCTTTTCGTTTTGATAAGTTCTGAAATTCTTTTTGTTAAATTGTGAAGG